TTAAATAAAAATTATGAAATTGTGTGTTTTGGAGGTCCATGGACACCCATTGTCCATTTGGTATTTGACCAGTTAGACCATAGACCAATTGGGTTTTTATACAGTTGGACCATATATGAATTGGGCGCGTCCATAGCCCGTCCAAAATGAATTGGACAGGGCTAGCCCATGGTCGGCCCGCCCAATTGACACCTCTACTTTTACTACTGACGAAAACTCGTAACACTCCACAAAAACTTGTTATTAACATAACATCCTATCTCTTCTAAACTTTAGGATTCACTAAATATAAGTTTTTTCACTTGGGATTGTACATAGAAGTGAGGGTATAAAAGCATCAATGTGCGTAGTAGTAGTAACTTATGAGCTTACCATAGAGAGCATCTCCTTTATCAACGTGTTCAAACTCCGAGAGAGGCGCTACAATGGACTGTAACTTAACCTTCCCACCACGTTTGTTCTGCAATTAAACAACATATTAAAACCTACTCATCTCCAAGATTATGAATCAACACTAAAAAAAGTGAAATAACTTCTCCAAAGAATAACCTGATACTCCATCAACTTCTCAGCATGCTCTCTTTCCTCCACACTCGATTCCTTGAAAAACCTAAAACCAAGAAACCAATAATAAAAGCCTATCAAACCAAACATACATAATACACATACGAAAGATTATATTCCACACTGTAGACACTCACTTGGCAAGACCTTTGAGCGCGACGTTATCCCTATCGAAGTAAGCATACATCGCATGATACACATACGACAGATTATACTCCACACTGCAACCAACCAAACCACATGATCATAAACCCTAAGCAGATTCATTCAAAAGTACTAAACCTTATAGCTAACTAACTAATCCACCTAATCTCTCAGTTCCTTCCTACTAAGATAACTTACTTAATCTGCTCGTTAATAGCGGCTTCACACTCGTCTGAGTATTTCTGACGAGCGAGGGAGACGTGAGAGCTCGTTGGAACGAGCTCGAGCTCCTTCTTAACCTCCTCAAACGGCTGGAAAACGACGCCGCTTAACGCCTCAGTGGTTGATCCCTTAGTTGCGCGAACAGAGACTGACGAAAATCGAAGGTTCGAGGAGGAGGAGGATAACAAAGGAGAAACGTCCTTGATGATTCCGCCATGGAAACTCACGAGCGAGAGAGCTGAAGAAGATACGGTCTTGAGAAGCATTTTTTTTTACTGCTGAGATGCTTTTCGCGAGAAAACTGGAAGAAGGAGGAAGAAGACGAACCGAGTTTATGATGATGAGGCTGTGGATTGTGGACACGTGGATGGACAGGATTGAGATATAGGTTTAGTGCGCGTGGAGTGCTTGTGTGTAGCTGGAAATTTTCCATTTTATCATATCATCGAATATCCCGTGAATAAAAAATGAATATCATTTGTATTGCATTTTTGGAATAAAGTAATTATATTAACTGCTTGACCTAATACGTTTCCATATATGACACAATTTACTTAAATGGGTTACATGGTTGGTACTCCTGAAATATTTATAGCATTCACATATAGAAAAAGATGCTACGGTATCTTCTTGGATCATCTCATCTTCTGTGCAGAGAAGAAGGTATGGTGGCACGTCCCCGTCTATTTTTTGTAATAATGAGTATGAAATTTATATAAATGACTCAATCTAAAACAAAAATAGTGAAAAAAAAATTGAACGCCAGTACTTAAATTAATCCTATATCCGTCCATCATGTGTTATATGCATCCATATATAGTAAGTGTATTCCTTCATGACGTTAGCCAAGGATATTAAACCGCGTCAAAATTACAGTCTACAAACTTAACCAAAGAATGTTAGGTATCAATGAAAACATTAACCAAGTAGCCATTATATATGGTTTGGTTGAAATTATGATTATGGCTTTGATTTAGTGTCATTATACATGGAAATAACGTATATAGAGATATGTAAAATTAGTTGCTCAATTATATCAACACGAATTATTTCAAAACAGACTATGTATTACTGTTAATTATATGTAACTACTAGCCTATCACCAAAATTAAGATTCTATTGTAAATGAAAGAACAATGAGAAATCATAAACCATATTCATTCGAATTCTCCATAACATGAAATTAAACAACGAAAATCAATACAAAAGAAACAGCCCAATTCAAGCCGATAATTAGGTACAACTAACAGTCTAACAACCAAGTTACTTCAATACTTCTAACGGTTCATAGGAACATTACTAACTCTATATAAGCAATTACAGTAGGCCAACACTTCTCATTGTGTCGTAAAAAAAAATCATTTACAGATAAAACAAAATTCTTATTTCCATATACCATTAAAAATGGCTTTCATCGCTTCTGCTCTTAAGGCTTTGTGTTTGTCTCTGTTGTTCATCGCCGTTGTTGCAAGTCGTCCAACCACCAGGCCAAAGGTTTTTAACGTCCAACACTATGGTGCTAAACCTGACGGAAGAACTGATAACGCCAATGTATGTACAAAGCCAATATAGAAACTCAAAAAAAAAAAAAAAAATTGATCGAGAAATTTTTGTGTTATTAATTAATTGTTTCGTTTTTAACGTGTCCAATCTCAGGCGTTCACAAGTATATGGAAACGTGCATGCGCAAGGAAAAGTGGAAGTAGTAAAATCTACGTACCGAAAGGAAAATTCTATCTCGGTGGTGTGGAGTTCATAGGGCCATGCAAAAATCAGATTGAATTCGTTATCGATGGAATTTTATTGGCACCTTCAAACCCTAGTGACATTAAAAATGAAACGTGGATCAACTTCATGCACATTAACAATCTCTCAATCTCTGGTGCTGGTACACTCGACGGTCAAGGGAAAGAGTCTTGGCCTCGCAATGACTGCTCCAGAAACACCAGCTGTCCTAAACTAGCTAAGGTATATAGTTTCTTAATCATTTAATACATTCATATAATTTAACGTTATTTAAAGGAGGCGCTAAAATTAACCACATAATTAATAACTATATCTATAACTATAACTAATTAACCGCATAATAACTATATCTTATATCCAAGTCTGACCAGTATTTAATTTTAATAAAATTTGATTATTCTTTTAGACCATGGGATTTGCATTCGTGAATTACTCAAGCATCACTGGGATAACATCACTCAACAGCAAAATGGGACACTTCGACTTCTTATCCGTCCATCACTTCAACATTACCGGCGTCACTATAACAGCTCCTGGAGACAGCCCCAACACCGACGGGCTCAAGTTCGGATTCTGTAGTGACATTCACATCTCCAACACAAACATCGGTACGGGAGACGACTGTATCGCCATTCTTTCCGGAACCACTAACATGGATATCTCTAATGTCATGTGTGGTCCTGGACATGGGATCAGTGTTGGAAGCTTAGGGAAGTACAAAGAGGAGAAGGATGTGACTGGTTTAACGGTAAGACACACGGTTTTTAACGGCACAAGCAATGGTATTAGGATCAAGACTTGGGAATCTTCAGCTTCTAACATCGTTGTTTCTAACTTCGTGTACGAGAATATTCACATGATTAATGTTGGAAACCCAATCAACATCGATCAGAAGTATTGTCCTTACCCACCTTGTGAAAAGAAGGTTAGCTTTCTACGCAAGAAATAAACTTTTTTTTTTTGGGACAATAAGCAAGTACTAGAGGAAAATAAGAGTTATGTTTTATTGTTCTTGCAGGGAGAGTCCCACGTTCAAATCCAATACATATTGTTAAAGAACATACATGGAACGTCAAAGAACAAAGTTGCGGTGAATCTACAATGTAGCAAGAGCTATCCGTGCAAGAACATTGAGCTAATTGACATAGACCTAGAGCATAAGGGAAGTCCTTCCACTGCGGTATGTGAGAATGTTCACGGTTCTGCACATGGCAAGATGGTTCCTCAACAGTGTCTGAATTGATTTAAATGGTCCATGGGAACAATGAACGTGTGTTGTGTTTGATATACTCATACTTGCCCAACTAATTCTCAATTAATTAAAATCTTAATTATATATTGAACTCTTTGCGAATATATATATGTATGTAGTAAGTGAAAAAGTAAACATCAAGTATGGCTTATAATTGTTAGCTAAGTAACAACAAAAATCTGTAGAACTAAAGTGAAGACAATGATATGTCATCTTTACAAGTCCATCAATGTATGGAAAAATCTCAAGGACACTTTAGCTTCAAAGCTAAGTGAAGTTATAGTCTTCCCTTCCATCAATCATGATCTCATATTTTCCAATAAGATAAAGATTAGCTGAAGTTTTACAAACACTAAACACACACAAATGTATGAATGAATTTCTGCATAAAAACTTTGTTAATTTGTCATTAAGAGATGAATGGATCATCAGTAAGGAGAAAAGAGAACCACTCTGTTGCGTCAACATTTACCTACTCATCACCCTAAGTATTATTATTATTTTGCTAATTACACAAATTTTCATCACCAAATATAATCATAACCATATTATAAATGATCTGATCGTTGTACACTACACATCTTTAGTATTTCTTGAAGCAACTCCTAAGCCCTTTTGGTGTCCTTCAACATATTATTTGCAGGTTTGAGTAGAATGATATCATCAACCACCCAAAGTGTTCATTTCTTAACATTTTGAATACTGAAATCACATTTAGAACACTCCATTCTTCTCACTGTTTCTCAAACCCTAATCATGAAACCTTCATCACCAATCTCCTTGACCTCTTCATCCCTTGCTCCTTCACTTCCTAGAAAACACCGTCTCTCTCCTTACCTCTGCACACTCTTAATCTTCATCTTCTTCGTCTCGGCTCTCTATGGAGAAGACTTCATGTGTATCTTTGGCCAGCTTGAGCCCACTTTTGCCCTACGGCCCTCTCCAACACCCGGTAACCATTTCTTCACTAAACATTTGGTTGAACTCTTGATGGAACTTTGACACTGAGATTGTCTTTCCTTTTGACTCTTTTGGGGTTTTCAAGAAAAGAACAAGAAACCACAGAAGCTCGCGTTTGCTATTGGTAAAACAGAGGAAAGCTGTGACGTGTTTAGTGGGAAATGGGTGAGAGATGAAGTTTCCCGACCACCGTACCAAGATTGGGAGTGTCCGTACATCCAACCTCAGCTTACGCGTCAAGAACACGGCCGTCCAGACAAAGACTACCAGTTCTGGAGATGGCAACCTAATCACTGTGATCTCCCCACGTAAGCTTACTCCCTCTCTATTCACTATGTTTCATGTGTTACTCTGTTTCCTCTGTTTCGTAGCTTCAACGCCACGCTAATGCTGGAAACATTGAGAGGGAAGAGGATGATGTACGTAGGAGACTCGTTAAACCGTGGAATGTTTGTATCCATGATTTGTCTTCTTCATCGTATCATCTCTGATGATCAGAAATTCATTAAAACTTCTGGTTCCCTCACTGTCTTCACTGCCAAGGTAACTCAATCTACTTAAACCTAAGTCATCACTGTCCTTTTTGGTCTATGTTTTGCAATATTTCACCTGATTTAGAGGTTATTATGTCAAATCGCAGGAGTATAACGCGACGATTGAGTTCTACTGAGCACCGTTTCTTCTAGAATCGAATTCAGACGATGCAATTGTTCATAAAATATCAGATAGGGTTGTGAGAAAAGGGTCTATTAACAAACATGGTCGTCACTGGAAAGGCGTTGATATAATTGTCTTCAACACTTATCTATGGTGGATGACTGGCTTGAAGATGAACATCTTGTAACCATCTTTATACCTTCATATCATAAAATATCATATAATATACATATTAATCACATAAGAAAGGTTTTCTGATATTGTTTCGTTTGGGTGTATATATGTAGGCAAGGATCGTTTGATGATAAGGAGAAGGTTATCACAGAGGTTTCAACTGAAGATGCGTACCGAATGGGGATAAAGAGTATGTTGAGATGGGTGAAAAACAAGCATGTCTCCAACTCATGCCAAGTTAGTGATTTTAGCCGTCTTAATAGAGGAATATAACAAATAAATAGATGTACAAGATTGATAATCCAGCTTTTTAATATATACATTCAGCTTTAAACTCCACAAACTGATTAAATTTACTTACAATATTAACAAATAAAGTGTTACTTTCTCAGCAAGAAACAAATTGGTGGTTTTTGTTTTGATTTTGTTTCAGGGGTATAGATTGGGGAGGTGAACCAGGTCAAAACTGCTATAATCAGACAACACTTATAGAAGATCCAAACTACTGGGGATCAGATTGTCGGAAAAGCATAATGAAAGTGTTTGGGAGATCGAAAACACCAATAACGTTACTAAACATAACTCAAATGTCGAACTATCGGAGAGATGCGCACACGTCAATATACAAGAAGCAATGGAGCCGACTTACGGTGGAGCAGCTTGAGAATCCGACAAGCTATGCGGATTGTGTGCATTGGTGCTTGCCTGGCCTTCAAGATACTTGGAATGAGCTTCTCTTTGCTAAACTTTTCTATCATTGAAAAGAAAGAAAATGTTTCTCGGTTGAGAGAAACGACACCGTAATGTTATTTTTTGAGCTTGGAAAGAGGCCTAGTCATTTAGTTTATATCTTCTTGTTGTGTGCCTCTGAGGTATGTGGCTAAAAAGAAGAAGTGGTCTCTTGTGTAACTGGAGTTCATAACATTACTCATTTGATTGTAATGATAGTTATAATTACTAATTAGTCGATTATTTATAGTTTTAAAGAGAGAAAAAAAAAAGTAAACGGAGAACCAACTAGCAAAGCGGTTCTCACATTGGCTCTGCTTCTGGTCACATCACTTTTTGTTTTTTATTTAATCAGAGAAGTGTCTGAACCAAGATTCAGTTCTTCTCCATATTTGGAACTAATACTGACAAATAATATGGCCCCAAGATTTCTAAGTAGACCCAAGACGTAATTATATGTTATCTAGTCAAGTGATGATAGTTTAGTTTCTAGTAAAGCTGAAACGGTTTACTGTTTGCTCTAGCTTGTGACCCAATATGGACCGAATTTTGTAATTTGGACCCAATTTGGACCGAATTTTGTAATTCTCAGACATAAAACTAGTTTTGTCTCAATCATTCAACTAGAGACTTCTTACACAGTAGTTATAGTAATTTTCCAGCTGAACTAATGACTTCTAATACCCCGATTCCTGAATAATGAGTTACATCACTCTCGCACCGAAATGCATCTAAATCTAAATCGCATTGCACTACAAGCTAAAACCCCATCAACTTTACGTGAGGGGGAGTATTCTTCATGTTATCTATTGAATTTGGTTTGCCTTTTTTCAGACACACTCATACAAATCAAAATGACTAAATATATAGTTTCATTTTAGTTTAATATTTGTTATTTTAATGAGTTAAAGTGTTTAGATAATCCAGCTAGCTAGGACTATATGAAAACATGAACTATCCCCGCTGCTTTTTAAAAGGATCATTTATATATCACAGCTAGGTGTACGTTCTCACAATCTTCTGTGCATGTTTATATTTATTTGAACGATAAAAATAATTTAATTGTAGTACTTTATATGCAACATGCCACATTGGAATATACAAAACCCCAAAAAGCGTATCTCTCTTGGGTTGGTTAGATTTCTCATATTCACACGGTCACACCGAATGAAATGTATACGTTACTATATTTAAGTAAAATAACAATATGAAATAACCTTATGGGTTTATAAAAAAAACAAGATAATATAATTGAAATATTTATACAAAATAGGTAAGTCACAAAAAAAATAAGAAAGGTAGGTGGGTTTAAATGTCATTTTACAAACGACCTAAAGAAGAAAAACATTAATAGGCCTCCTTGCCAACTTGCAGCTCAACTTGCAATTCCTTCCTTCCACGACAATGCTTACACATATTTCGTACTCATTATGATAATAGATTAATAATCGTATATTGATATATATAATCAATTTGATCCTTATTTAAAATTTAATTTATTTATGGAATATATCTAAAAGGTGTTACAGAATAGTAGCAACTTTTTTTCCTGCAACTTGCATGCCTTTGTTTTTTTCTATAACAAGTTGGATTTTATTACACCCAACTTGCCTTTTACGTACGTTCCTATACATTTCTATATATGTATTCAATGCTGAATTTGGTTTCGCAAGTCTCGAAATCTTACTAGTTAATTACAAAGTAACTTACGCATTTTGCTTTTAGAAACTTAGAAAGGATGAAAGTCTCTTTTCAATCTTGTTCATTGGATTCTTTTGTACTAAATAAGGAGATAATATTTCAAAGTTAGTTCTGTTTTTTTTATTTTACATTTAAATTCATGAGATAATATATAGGACAAGGAAATCTGAAAAGTAATAATTTTGACATTTGAATTATTGTAACGGTTCACGCATCCCAAAATGAAAAAGGACCAAAGGAATTTTATCACTTTGGATAAAAGTAGGATTAGTTTTGATTTAGTTTTTGGTGGATAATAACAAATCATTTACGTATTAACAGCAAAATTTGTTGATGAACTGACTTGGGGTTGGGGGGGGGGGGGGAATAATGCTTTAATCTCATTTTTTCTTCCTGCCAGATTAACATGCATGTGACCATTAATATTAGCCAAGCCGATAAAATTATTTTTGTCAAAATTTGAATACAATGCAATTCATATAAACTACATACTGGTTGGAATGTATATTTTAAGTCGTGGATGATATTCCATCAAGCTTAATCGCTCTGATATATAACTGAAAATCAGTTTCAATAAAAACTCTTAAGTAAGTCTATTATTTTTTAACTAAAAAAGTCTATTGTTTGTATAATTTCAAGAGTGTAAATATTTTTATTTTATTTTTAAGAGTGTAAATATGTATAGTTTTACATTACATTATATACATTAATTTCTCTCTTAAGATAAAGGAAAAGCAAATCATATGAAGCAGCACATGGGTTTTCTGATTGCCCACAAATGCTCAGATCTCTTCATATTGTATGTCTGGATTTTACTAATTAAGCCAATACTATCTTAATCATATTGTTTTTTTTAAAAAACGATCTTAATCACATTGTTGGTAATACGTATTAACGAAAAACATCAGAAAAATAGTCAGTGACTGAATCATTATACTGTTTCATGATTAAAACAAAGATCATACATATTTAAAGTAACTGGCAAGAAGAATACTACTACGAAGAGAAAATAACCTACACTATACACAAGAGTTCAAGAAGATATGATCTTGAGGGTGAACTAAACTATCGTCGAAACGAACATTTAACAAACCCTAAAACCCTAACTTCGAAAAACAAAACCATCTTCTTCTTTTGTAGTTTCGAAAAATCCCCAACGATATTTATATAATCTAAAACCTAAATAAAAAGATAAAATCTTAAAAGAGAGAATATATTAGAAATAAAATTTAAAAAAAAATTCAAACGAAAATGTTAATTACGAGATTCTAGGCGGGTTCTCGGCGAGTTTAGCCAACGATTGCAAGTTGCAACGTATAATGGTGTCGGCGAAGCTGCAAGTCTCATCCTTATCATTACCAGCCGGTACGTCAACGACGTATGACTCAACGACACGTGTCTTCTTCTTATCCTCCGTCGACTCGTGCACCGTCGTGACAGACCTATAGTTCTGAAGCCTGTGGTCTCCACCCACGACGCTGAAGCTCATGACGTGGCGATCTTCGTCCATGATCTCAAGCCTCTCTAAGCTGAAGGCAGCGGGGAGACCAGAGACGACTCTGACCTCCCTAACGGAGCCAACCTCTCGGCCGTCTCCGGCAGCCACGTGGCAGCTCCTCACAAAGTGTTTGTAGGCTTGAGGGTGTTCGAAGCGGCTGAGGATGGACCACACGGTGGAAGCAGGAGCGTCCACGTCTTGCACCACGACGGAGAAGCACTGAGAGGGTTCAACCACGTGCGTGTGGGAGAGCTCCACGTGCTCAGGGACGTCGCCCATGCCGCGCGTGAGGCTCATTTTCTGAAGTTGTTTGTGGTGGTGGTTGGATGATTCTACGGTGGTGGGAGATCTCTGAAATTGTAGCGATGTTGGCATATTATAAACAAGCTTCTCTCTCTATCTCTCTTGTTATTCTCTGGCTATGTCTCTCTCTTAGAATATAAAATAGGATTAGTTTTGCTTCGTGAGGTCTTATGAAATGTGTAATGAGATATTTATATGTAGATATGCACAAGGAGGAGGGTGTAAAAAATAGTATTAATATGCAAGTATATGTGGACAATAGATGTATGAAGAAAAAAAATAAAATAAAAAAGATAGAAGAAAGAGAATTTAGTTTGTGTGGGTTCGTCGGCTGTCCGTCCACTTGGGATTTGTTTGAAGTTTGTATTTTCACAGAAGGACCGGCCCGGTACCCCATGAATATATATCTGACTGGCTGAGCTCTCGATAGCATAACCAGTTTTTTTTTTTTTGAGTTTTGTTTTTAACTTGGTTATTTACCGGAGTCTGGAGAGTTTTACTTGGTTATTTATTTTGGGTTTTGTTTTTTACTGGTCATTTAGTACGTAGTTTACTTGTAGTTAACAAAACAAGATTAGCTCTTGTAAGAACTGCAGTTTATCCATTTAAGTTAATCTGACAAATAAAATTAGTTAACAGAACAAGATTACTTAATTTAGAGTCTGAAGTCTTGATATATTTTAATTTTAAAAACAGAACTTTTTCTATTTAGGAAGGTAAAAAGAAATAAAATTATTTAATACTCCATTCATTTCAGATTAACTGTTGTTCTAGATTTAAAATTAATTTTAATTTAAGTGTCATTTTATATTTTAATGCATTTATTTGGTGATTTTTACAATTTTATCCAAATTCTTTAATCTCATCATATAACATAATCACATAAAGTAATATATTAATTAGGAAAAAATATGAAATTTAATGATTTTTTTTTTATTTTTTTTGGAAATCTTATAACAATGTATAAAATGAAATGGATGGAGTATAGTTCATTATTTTGTTTGTTTCAACAACATCTCAAAAATAAACAACATTCAAATTTTTTTTTTTTTGACATAATAAACAACATTCAATCTAATGTGGAAAACAAATATTCCTAGTTAGTAGCCAAATACTCTTGGAAGAAACTGGAGGAAATGAGATCAATAGCATTCAATATATTGTGGGAAACAAATTCTAACTCGTTCTCATTAACCTATGATTCATAATTTATGGAGTTTTGTAGTTAATCATATTTTTTTCACCATGTGTCTAGACTTGCATATTAACGGAGCTAATTCCATAACATTATAAAACATATTTTACCATTGAGATTCACTTTATAACTCCTGTCCAATGTCCAAGATCCGCATGTATGATATCTACCGCCTACTTATTTTTCGAGAGGTTTCGAATGGTAAAAGCAGATCAAGCAATGTATATCAAACGGTTCATGCAGATCAAATGGTTCATGCAGATCAAGTGGATCATACAGAAGAGATGCAGATCATGCATGAGAGATACAGATCAAATGATTATTGGATTTTCCATATGATGCTTATATTTCTTCTATTTTCGTTTTAGTTAATCAAAATTATCTTTGAAGAACCAATAGGTTACTAATATTAAAATCTTTGTTGATATTTATATAGAAGGATTTATATTTTTTGTTGAAAAATATTATGTTTTGTTTCTGCTGAATTTCATATTTATAAGTTTAAAATGATATGCTTGTAATTTTAAAATTGACGCAAATAGTATTTAGTGTGAATAATATTGTTTGAGCTAATCATTATATATTATTTATAAAATTAAATAAATATAATTAAAGTTAGTATTTGCAGCAAAATCATTCATTAATGAAAAAAACAGATCAACACCATCATCAAATGTTAGCGGGTGAGATTTGCATGGAGATCTCCTATTTTTTCACAAAAAGATAAAATATTAAACTGCATGCATATTTTCCGCTTGAACTACTTTTAGAAACAGAAAAAGATGAATGACAAAAATAATGTAGAAGAACTGCATAAGCGGACGATCTACACTTGTTCTGTTTATTCATAATCTGAGAGAACTTAATGATTTGAATGGTACACATTATACTTGGTTAAGTTCTACTTTTTTTGGGGTGCCTTATTGGATGTCTCCTCGATCGGTGGGTTTTGGATTTCAGTTTAATCTTCTGACTGCAATGATCAGTTTTAACCTGGCAAATAATTACTATAGCATTTTGAATATTCCAAGTTGGTGAAAATAGCATGTCATGGGTCATCATAATAATCATTCATCATCTTGTAATCAACTTGATCGTTTTGATAGTACTAAAAAAGTATTAATCAAATTCCTTTTCAACAAAGTAATAACATTATTAGAGGAGTTAGCCGAAAATCAACCAAGTAGTTGCTAAAAGTAACTAGCATAAAGTCAGGAAAATTTTCGAATTGGACGGACTATAGTATTTCTTTGGTGTGTTTCCTTCCACAAACTTATATTCCAATCAAATGTAATGAATATTAGACTCATGAATTTGAGTGGTCGGCATAATAACAAAATACAATTTGGAAAAAATAATAAAGGGTTACTTAATGCATTGGTTTTTCCAACAACTACACAAGTAAATATACATATTCTCAACTAGTCCTACTTGTTAGATTTATACGAATAAGCGAGCAATTTGAATTACTAATTCAATCTAAGATTTTATAGAATAAGAAGAAAAGCTTACAATTAGTTTACAGTTTCGCGCAGTCCTCGATGTCAAGCTTGCTCATCTTATAAGCTTTCGGGTTAGGTGACATAAGCAGTTACCAAGTAACATATTACTAAATATATTTGCAAAAAGATAAAAATTCTTCATAGATCACAAGTTGATGTAGAAATTCTTTTTTTTTTTGGGAAGATTTCTTTTTTTTTTTTGTCGTTTTTGGGAAGATTATACCAAAGTATACGATGACCATCCTCTATTTATATGTGGAAAATAATTTTGCACTAGCCGTAACAAGTAAAAAAGCGTTATAAAATAAAAATTCACCAACATAAATTCATGTTTATCTATCTTCCTTGTTTGCTCATCATGAACCAATTGATGGTATAAACTCTCTTTTTTTTTTGTTCAGACCGAGAAGGGGTGGTTTAATGATGAATGTTGAAAGAAGAGCATGAAGCAGGGAAGATGATGAAGTATGGGTTCTATGAATCTTAAATTAACGATCATAGAATTTTGAAAGCATCATTGGATGAAAGAAGCGAGATATAGTACATCTTCTGATATGTATTTAGCACAAACTGAATGACTATACGTTGGTGTCTTTAACAATTACAACTCAAGATTTGCTTCTTCTGCTCTAGCATTATGGTATGGAGACTTCAATCAGCTTGATACAGTTTCCGTGAAAACATACAATGTACGTAGTATAATTAAAGGGTTCATAAGGAAAAAAAATCTAAACTATGTAGAGAAGAAATTTCATTATACATCATCTCTTTTAGTTATTTTCTTGAAACTACAAGTTCAATTGTGTATTGCAACCTTTTTATCAACGTATATTAGTGGTGGACGGAGGATGCTTTTGGTTCTAGAAGAAAATAAGTCTACTCAATAATTGACATTTATTCTCCCCTAAACCCCAGTTTTACGAGTTGAAGATATATTTTTATTAATTTGTCATTTCTTTTTTTTCCAACTAATTATGAATAAATGTCAAATTATTTAGTAGACTTATTATCCATTTACAATTAATTTCACAATTATAAAATAGTGTTGACAAAAAAACAAAAAAAAAAGAAATGCAAAGAAAATCTCAACTTCAATCAGAAGTGAATGACATACGTGATATTATTAGTTTAGAGATATTGTCCAAAAGAGTTGCATCTCATTCTTATACAGAAGGTGGACACATTGTCAAAGATAAAATTGTGGAGGAGCAATATCCAAATCACATCCAATTGTTTTGATAAGGTCTAATTAAGTTAGCAGTTTGCCAACTTGTTTTCTTTATATTTCAACAGGCTTTATAGATCTTCAAGATTTAGGCAAGAAAAACGAGAGAATAATTAAACGCATTTTAATAATACACAAATACTCCCCCATTTGCACTTTCAAAAAAATAATTCACTTTTTTTCTAGAAAGTACAGATATTATATTTGCACTTTTTTATCTTTCTTACATCATTGCTTATGCAATTTAAGACAACCTGAGGAAATCCTGCAGACCATATACTCCACTCCTGATTTATCCAATTTTCCAAGAAAACAACTAGATTCAACCAAGCAATCAATCTGTGAGATCTTTTCCCCTTTTTTAATCAAACTTGCTAAAGTCAATATCTACATTACACAATGTCACACTAGATGAGTCAATGCAGTTACAGAAGCAAAGCAACCAACCAATAATATGCAAAGTTCTAATATCATTAAGAATTTATAGCATGTATATGTTTTGACATGTACTGAGAACTCTGCATGTATCCAAGACTAAAACTTTAAAACTTCATATGTATCCAAAGGCTCAAACTTTGTACCTATTCACAGAAAAGAAGGAAGGAATCATAAACAAACTTGTCTTACATTAACTAAAGTAGATTTATTATGCATCTAACCATTAACATAAGTATCAGTAACTGGGCCGTGAACATCTTTTTCCTCTCTTTCAAAACCCATGTCTTTTATGTCAAGATCCTGGAACTTGCTACGGTCCAAATCCACACAATTGCTCTCCATTGGATATCCATAATCAACTCCAAGATGAGCAGTCTCTGTCTGGATGAAGCTCCCAAGCAAGTTAGCATCTTGAAACTTCACCTGGTGATTGAGGTTTGAAGAACTATCAACTTGACCCTGCATAGTCTCTTGACCAGACACCACATTGATCTCCCCTAACAAACCCCACACCTCATTCACATCAAACATCTCGTCCACACCAAAATCCCATGGTTCATTGCCATTTCTAATTCCAAAAGTATCAGCTGAGTCAATTACACCCATCTCCTCTTTAACACACTGAGAGCTTTCCATCACTTCCACCTCCTCTTTAATACACTGAGAGCTCTCCAAGAAAACATACTCATCGCTAACATCCTCTTCTTTCACCTGAACATTTGACAATGTAGTAACCGAGCCAGCTGCAGAAGAAGAAGAAGAGCCGTTGGAAACGTCAGGAAGATTGAGTACGGCTGACTTACCATAAATAGCTTTAGCAGCTTCGTCATAAGCCAACGCAGCTTCATAAGAGCTAGGAAAAGAACCTAACCATAACCTAGCACCACGACATGGCTGACGGATCTCAGCAACCCATGTACCCCAAGTCCTCTGTCTAACACCTTTGTAGTGACAAATCCCATTCTCAGGCCCTCCCTTGCCTTTTCTAGAACCCTTTCTAGAACCCTTACGTATCGGTTTGAGACCACCATCATCATTGCTAGAAGCAGCCTCCGTCTGCTCATTGTACTCTCTCCATTTCTTTAGAGTCGCAGCTACACGAGTGGCACTATCTCGTGGGTTCTTTTTCCTGAGAGAATCAAAAAGGAATCAACTTTTTTAACCTCCTGAACGTTAATCAAAATAGACTCAAAAGAGAAGACATCATCACGAACAAAAAGGTAAGAACAGAGTAAACCCCAGAAACAGAGGTTCATCACAAAGTAGGATTCTTTCGAAACCCAACGAAGCCTTATGTGTCTAGTGAAGAACATAAGTCATGTTTTCAGGGAAGAAACTATATAAAGTTACGATCTTTACAGATAAAGTCTTCTCCTTTACAAGACCCATTTGCACAAACCTTAACCTATAGATAGAAACTATGTCGAAAAGTTTAAACTTTAGCTCCAAGTTAACGTCTACGAAGAACCCTAAATCTGAACATACTAGCTTCCACTTACATGGTGACACACAGACACAACGAAAGAAAAAACTATATAGAGAATCAAACGGACCTGACAACAATCTTCGACGGCATGTAAGAACTGCAACGAAGACAGAGTATTAGGGATATATATCCCACATCGGGAATTCAATGGGACCTTAAGTAATATATAAAGGGTTAGGGCCAATCCACTTATCACCAATTGGTTTTAAGTTGGAAGCCCACAATAACCCGAATCTAACATGGTATCAGAGCCCAGATCCTAAAAAGCCCTAAACTCCTAATTAATTAATTAACCTTTCCGACCGGGTATATAGGTCGTGTTTAACCTTCTGAATAGGTAAAATTGTCGTATTTGACTCGCTCGACCGAGTATAACTGTCTTAAAGTTCCGAGATTTCTGGCCGATAAGAGCCATCATCTCGAGGAGGGGTATTAGGGATATATATCCCACATCGGGAATTCAATGGGACCTTAAGTAATATATAAAGGGTTAGGGCCAATCCACTTATCACCAATTGGTTTTAAGTTGGAAGCCCACAATAACCCGAATCTAACACAGAGAAGACGAGAGGGTTTTGGATTAAACTTGCGTAGAAAGCAATCCGAAGAGGGAGAAGAATAGTAACTAGAGTAGTGGATACCTCTTGTCGTAGCGAAGAAGACGATTTGTTTCTGTAAATAAGAAAAGTGTTCTGTTTATTATTTTATTAATGTTTTTGATATTTCAGATATTTTTGTGCTGACGTGTCGCTCGAACTTTCCTGATTCTGATTCTGGCTGGATCCAGACTTTCTTTTTTGCTTTGGGCCTAAGCCATGTTTGCTATGGGCTATTTTACCCTCGGAGCTTATATGTAGTTTCGTTTATGCCACTCTTTGGAGTTTGGATAAGTATATGCTTTGACTAATCAAAAGATGGAATCAATTTTAACCAAAAATCAGGAAGCTATGCATGGTTTTTATTTAAGCCCATGGTATTAATGTAAGTATGGATTAGTGCCTTTGTTTTTGAAAGACAAGTATGGATTATTGTCTTTTTTTTACTGACTAGTATGGACTAGTGTTTCATTAACCATTCTGTTTTGTCCCACATATTCTGTATGCACCTCAAAATATAGGTTTGCATAACATTCTATCTTATAGTTTTGGTGCCACATATTCTGCTTGCACCTTAAAATATACAACTTTAATAGTTCCACGGTAAAGACATTCTCAACGGTTGAAAAAAAAATGGTTAAACGGACATTCTTAAACTCTTGTGCAAAAAGACAAAAACAAAAACTCTTTATGAAAATGGTTTTGTGTGTGTGCATAATGAGTTAATTTCCTAGCTACTCAAGCTAATGATGGTAACATGTGCAAGAATGATTATATTTGTTAGTGTTATTTTTTCCCACTGATTACTCAAAAATTAACAAAGTCATGACCACTTTTGTTTCTTCTGGTGATGTCAAAACCATGATTCATTCCCATCCGAAATCACTTTGCGCTGCTCAACTAACAAGTTGGAGCTCCACGCCACTTTTTCTTAGTTCCATTTTCGGTTTCACTTATCTTGTTCAAAATTAATTTCGGTTTGTGAGATAGAGGTATACGTAGTTGATTCAGTTAGTTCATATGACCCTGTATCTACATCTCATCTCACGTTCAAACATAGAATGTTGAGCAAAAGAATAATAGTAATATTTTATCAATAAAGACATGTGATGGTATCCAATCAAAGACTAAATAATGTTTATCTTTAGAACATTATTATTCATCATGTGGTTGAACGCTCGATTTGACTCGGCCTCTATCAGGCCAACAAGTCTTTTGTGATCACTCCAAATCTCCAGACTTATGTACGTATACAAATATAATTTTAGTTCAACAACAGTTGACAACAGATTCCTTCCTTTGTAAAATAAAACTTTCCGAGAGATGGAATGAATGATTCAATTAACCATAAAGACAAAAAAAACGAAAAAAAAAAACAACTTTCATGATGATACTCTTAGCACTGTTTTGATACTATAATCTCAAAGAATACATCAATAATCGAGAAAAATAAAGCTACTCAAGAGTAGACCAAATGTATCTATAACCAAAAAGTAAAAACAATTGAATATGACATGAAAACTATTACGTGTGTTTATGTTACAAAGAGAATCATGAACTCCTAGCACACGGGCAAATCAGCCGGAGGCTCCTCCATTGTCTCTAATAGCCCTTCCCCGTTCTCGACCAAGAAAGCCATGGCTAGTCCCCATGATATATGTGCATCTATGTGACAGTGCATTATCCAAACCCCTGTTTCAATCATTTGAAAACACAATTAGTTTCATTAATCATGTTGAATCATTACTCTTAACATATAATTTTAAAATATATATACTTTGTAAATTTAATATTTGTTTACCAGGGTTATCTGCCACGAATCTGATAACTGCCCAACCATTAACAGGTACACCAACAGTGTTTCTAAGAGGCGGGTCTTCAAGATTGAATTTCTTGGTATCTTTCTTGGGGTTGAAGTTACCGAAACCCTCAGCAACAATGTAGAAATCATAACCGTGTAGATGAATAGGATGATTCTCAGCAGTTACTATACCAGTGTCTTGAAGAACAATCTGAACTCTTGATCCATACTTGAGCTTGTATAGCTTAGTCCCTCTCACAGGTTGGTATAAAGACCGACTTATGTTACTACCCGTGTAATCAAATTTCACCGGAGGTCTCGCCGGAAAATCGGTTGTGAAGACTCCGGGAATAGCATGGTGGTGAGCTTGGAGGAGAGAGTAGTTACTAGGTAAAGCAAACGAAACATTGTTCATAGATGCAGTGAAGCGTGTGCCGTTAGGACCTTGACATCTTCTTGACCTAAAATTTTTAGGACAGTTGTTGAGACCGAGACCAATGGTTATAAAGAGATTCTCGTCGAGTTCTGTCGGGACCTCGGCACGTTTTAGTGATCTGAAGCTTTGGCTGAAGCGAGTGGCTGTGTTTGTGTCGTTGTAGGCAGGAAGGAGGGGCATGATCGGTTTGGCGCCGCTGCAGCAAGGTGAGGCTTTGTATTGGAGTATTGCGGTTGTGGTTGTGTTGCTAAACGGTGCGTTTTGAGCGCTTTGGTACGCTCTGGCAGCCATGTAATAATGGTTTGGTGGTTGGTCTCCGGTTATAAGGACGTCGGTGGTTTGGCCAGGGCCGAGGACTATGACGTTGGTGGTGAAGGGTTTTAGGTAAGAGGCGTCGGCTCCGACTACGGTGAGCTTGTGGTTAGCCACCGTGAAAAATAGTGGTTGGTTCAGTGCGGAGTTTATTACACGTAGTAGTATGGTCTCACCAATATTAATTGGTACTATTGTCGTATCTGCATAAGAAAAAGATTATAAAAATAAAAGTTAATATATATACTTATTTGGATCTTTTGGGGTTATGCTTTTGTGTTTTTCTTTACAAATATAAATTAGAATAAAATATACAAAATTCAGTTATGACGGTTAGGAAAAAGGCAAGAAAATAACTTATGGTTTAGACCTTTTTCTTTCTTTAATTATCAATATAATTAAAATTCAATTGAATGAAGTGAAATAAAAAGAGAGTACGACCTTGAGAAGAGCATTTATAGAGATCACCAGGTTGACCATTGATGGTGTAAGCGTCAGAGATATTTGGAGCAGCTCCGGTTCGTATAGCTTCTCTTATCACATCAACTGGATTACCGTCCCACCATTCACCTTATAAAAAAATATTTACAAAAATCAATTTATTTATTATATTGTATAATTCAATTGATTAAAGCATAACTATGAATTTAAATTATACCTAGAAGAAGTGGGACGTTACGGTGAGGGTTTGGGAATGGGTAAGACGAACCAGCCGGAGGAAGGATGAGAAGTGAACCGTAGACAGTAGCTCTAAGCCATGAACTATGAGCATGCCACCAAAGTGTACCTTCTTGTCCTTGAATTGTAAACCGGTACGTGTAGCTTGATCCCGGTCTGATTGGACATTGAGTCACGAATTCTGGTCCGTCAGCCCAACCGGTTCGCATTTGTCTCACACCGTGCCTTTATTCACACGTTATATTATCAATAAACCAGCCATGCATTTATAACTGTACGTTAGCTTGGTGTAATCGTGTTTTTACCAGTGGATTGTGACGTTGTACCGGGCTCGGTTAATGACTTTGACAACGAGAGTGTCACCGTTATTGATGACAAGTTGTGGACCGGGAAACATTCCGTTCACCGTAATGCTGTTGTGTGTTTCACATAGTCTCTTCACCTTTGTTGCTTGTATCTGCATGTATACATGACTATATATGTAAGCATACATCTCATTTATACTTGAATAAAATGTTTTGTAAACTGAAATGCGATCGTACGATGAACTCGTGGTGGTGTGCTCTGTTGGCTTCTGCCAAGGAAGTGAAGAGAAGAAGGACTGCGAAAGAGATGAAACAGAGGAAGCTCTTGATGATATCCATTGTTAAGATTCTTATAAAAATTTCTGTTACACCCAGAAATGTGAAGTGTATAGAAGAAGAGAGAATGTGTTGTGATGGGAATCAGAATGGAGTTATATAGGGGGACAAATACATTTTTGAAGTTTTTTTTGGTGTGTAAAACATTTTTGAACTTGTTGGAAGTTTATTGTATTTTTTTGGGAGATTAATTGAATTTATGTTTTAAAATTGTTGTTATGCGGTTGGAGGATTAGGTTTTGATTTAATCGAAGGCCAAAACTTGGTTCAACATTAGAAGAGTAGTTGCACCCACTGGGCCCTAGGAAACAAAAATGACCGAGTTTATTTTTTTTTGGAAAGGTGATTACGTCTCTTGAATTCTTAGTTAACACGCTTTTTCTATTGACTTTGGATGTTATATACCATAATTGCTATAAACATAATATAAACCCCATATAATAAATGATTTTGTTTTGGAGCCTATTAAATGGATCATCATATTTGGAGTTGTGTACAATATGTTGCCAACAAAATCTAAGTACGCAATGTTGTGTTAAATATTAGACTCATCAGGCTCATGCAATTAACTTGCATGCACCGAAAACATTTTGCTTTTGAATAATATCATCGTAAATTGAAATGTCTTTCAAGTAGTTTTGATTTCTGGTCCTGATTTTTATACCATGACTTGGTTTGAAAAATATATTTCCGAAGATAAATTAAAGATGTAAAACATTACATGTATCAAAAGAATTAGAAGAACGTTGTATCATTTTAATCTTTATGTTGTCACCTACTTCCAACAATATAATACCTAAACAAAGACGAATAAGCGCGTATACAAGTCATACTGTATTTTTTTACTCTTTTCCTCATTTCAAATTTTGTTATAAAAGTCTTTGCCTTTTTATCTAATTTTAAAAATACAACTGTTTGCTAGTTATAAAGAGTAGATGTTTTAATATAGGATTAAAGATATAGTTTAAGGTTATGTTTGTTGAGAAGTTTATAGTTTCAGTTCAAAATAATATAAAAATAAGTAACAAGGGGTTTGGAACTAGCTAACACGGCAGATAAAACGAAGGTCCGGGTCACAACTAGCTTGCGCAAATGTCTGAATAGTAGAAAATAAGAATCGTTTAAACTATAGTGATTTTGTTCTTTCTTTAAACTTGCAGCTTCTGCAGTTATTTTAAAGTGGATATTTAATCTACAGAATTGACAACAATAATGTTAGAAGCACATTTCACACATATTTTTAGAAAATGTTATATTATGTATTATTAGTTTTTTTTTTTTTGAAAAAGTAATATGATGAAGTTGGTTCATTTTAGCTTTAGGTGAATTGTCCGTAGCAGTTATGACTCTCCTATGTGAATTGCAAAATCTCATTGTTATTTTCATACTTATACGGATAAAAAAATTTGAGACACTTTTTTTCTGACAAAAGGACAAAAATATGAGACACACATAAAATAAGTTTTTTTTTTTTTGCATAAATTTGGACACACACAACATAAGTTACAAGGTTATTCCATGTCGTGCCATGTCTCCTTTTAGGTTTACTTGTTTGTTAAACAAATAAATTAACTGTTGAGAAAACAAACTAAGTTTACAAAAAATGAAAAAACTAACAAATACAAATTATTTTAAAAAGGGGCCGGAAGAAAGAAGAAAAAGACATATAGTTGCGAATGTACAATCCTCATTACAAAAAAAAAAAACATTTGGCTTTTTACCACAAAAAAAAAATTGGTATAAGTTGATGATCATTCCCATTTACATCATGATACATTAAACAGTTATATATTAAAACATCACAATGAGTTATTATTAGAACATCACAATGAGTTATTATTAGAACGTCAAGGAGCTTTACCAAATAACAGTTATAATTCAACCATAACATAATTGCGTTAAAAGTTTAATATTATTATCATTATACCAAAATATTGGTTATAAATTGAAACACAGAAAAGATTATCTTCAAGCTTAAGTAAAAATGATTATTGTTTTGTTAATGTTGAAAAAGTAAAAATGATTTGAGGTAAACAAGATGATTTGTCTAACTACCTATTTATTACACCACTTGTTTTCAACCCCTATATTCTTGTCTTATCAACAAAACTTTTTCTTAACCGATTCTAGCTATTTAAGAAGTTTCCATTTAATCAACTCTTACTTTTTAGTACATATATTTTTCATAACCTCATTCTTTATTCATCTTCTTCTATCTCAGTACAGGGATATCATTTAGAATACCATGTCATCTTCTTCATTCTGCTTAGTACATAATAGTATATAATATCATCTACTGCAAAACTTTTAATGCTCTCGATGATTCTTTTTGGTTTATGCATAACACCCATATTGGTTATATACTTATATTACACGATATGAGTATAGATTTCGGTTAAACATACATATCTATCTAATTACAATAAAAAAATTAAGAAAACAAAACAAATTCATATATCTTTAAGCAATTTTGCATTTTGTGATAACTGTATCTTTAAAATTAAATACTACTACTACTTAATTTTGAGCAGTCAAAACCGTGTATCCTTACGTAAATATCTTTGACAATAACAAAAATAGAAAAGTAAACATCATGTTGTTAAGAAAGAAAGAAGTAACACGAGAAGAATATTGAGAACATTGATTGGTGAACAATAAATTAGTAATTGTGTTGGTGGAGTTAGTTAGTATCCTCTTCTTTGGTATCTCTAATCTGCTAAATCTTTGAAAATGACATCACATGTTGTTAACAAAGTGAAATTGACCCCGCATCTGAAATTAAAGTTTATATAACCATTTGATTTTGTGTTTCTCTGATTATACCATTTGTCAAAAGAGAAATGTTTTTATTAGTATACAAAATATCTTATCTTTTACAGAAATTATTTTCACTATATCATCTAAGAAGCTAAAAATACATATTTCATTTAATTAACTGTGGTTTAACTTCTCAGAAGAACTTGAAGAAATTTTGTTTTTTTTGAAAGGAAATATAAAGATGATGGCATGAACACTTTGAATATGTCTTGATTAATTATATTACTAGCATGAAAACTGGTTTAATAATTAGTTTCCTTAAAATCTCAACTTCATTAGTCAAAAAGTGGGTACGAAGCACGAACCCTAGCTATGTTCACATTTTTTTGGGTCGATTGATCTAACCTCTCGTTACAAGTGGAATAATATTTTCTACAACTTTTTTTTTTCAAAAGACAAAAGTCATTCCACGAGTAATATTATTATTACCTCATGTAATGAAGAATAAAAACAGATCACCTATAAAGATAAGGAAGAAACATCTTACTGACTTTGACCCCAAAGAGAGAAGAGTTCAAATGACCTAAAACTATTCGGATATTCAATTTGCTTTTGGTAACCGAGTGTTTTAGACTGAACCCCAAAATAAACATGTTGCTTATATGTCTTTCAGATTGGCCAAATATGTAAATCTAGTCAATCAATTTTTGGCTTGGACATACGTTTCATTGGCCAACTTACTTCACAAAAAAAATTAACCATGATATGATATGATCCTATCAAGATAGTGAAGTCCTGAGAAAACAATGGTTGTTGTATTCTTTCAAGATAGAGGAAACTTTTGCAAGAATCAAATAGTGGATTATAACTAGTTATATACCATAGTTACAGACCTAAATCGTTGAAGAACAAAATATAACATTTAATTACTTTTCTGCTTTGATAAAAAAAAAAAAACTTTTCTGCTTGTTCCGTATCAAATTTCATGATACAAATGTCAATCATAGAGTTTTTTTCTTTTTAAAGGTCATCATGGCTTCTAAGTAAGAAATTATCATAAAGATATGGAATATTTTGAGAGAGAAAGCTTTCAATGCTGTCTTTGTAATTAATGCCCTCAAATCAAACAACATACTCCCTCCGTTTTATATTAAGTGTCGTTGTAGAGAATTTTTTGTGTTACAAAATAAGTGTCGTTTTCAGTTTTCAATGCAAAATTTATTAATTTTATTATGTAATTTGTTTTTCTATTGGTTAAAATATGGTTAGGTGTATGGGTAATTGCGTTTTTATATAGGAAATGTGTAAAATTAATTGTTTCCTTAATCCGTGTGCATAGCTGTAGAGTGACACTTATATTGAAACAGAGGGTGTACTATTTTCTTAGCGATGTTGATCAAATATTGCAAATGAACATTAGACGCAAGACCTGTCCAATCTTTGAACTAGAGTTGAAATAGCAAAAACCATTGAACTCCGTAAAACTGGATCCGCTTCTCTACAAATCTGGTGTCTGGTTTCCCAAGCTTGTTACTTGTTCCAGACGAAACAAGCAACTCTGCATGGTTTTATCACTTACTAGTTACTAATAGTTTAAAATGTATTAAAAGCAAACACTAATACTTAAAGAGACTGGCTCATGATCAAAAAGAGAGGGAAACAAAAAAACTTGACATGTAACTTAACATAACACTTGGCTTGTTGGTTCGTGACGGGGAGTGTCGCCGGAGAAGACATTGGTGTCGGTGAGTGTGGGGTGAGAGAGTGAGGAAAGTGGAAACTGAAGTTAAGGCAAAACCGTGTTATTGTAAGTAAGGCCTAATGGTTATGGGCCTAATATTTTTTTTATCAGCCCATTAGTTTAAGTTGAAACAAATATTGGACTTATGGGTAATTCTGTTAACATTAAAACATTTTTTAACAACTAACATTAAATCATTTATACATTTAGAAAATGAAATCATACAAATACATATTTAGAAAAAGTTTTTCTTTTTTGTAGAAAAATTATATTTTCACAATACTGGTACGTCAAACAATATGAATATAGAATTGATATCAAAAGAATAAAATATTATAGATTTAGTTTCTTGCATTTTTAAGATTTTATTAATTCGCTTAAATTGTCAATCCGAAGATTTTGATGACCAAAAATTTTAGCACAATTTTAACTTGTATATCCCTTATTTTTTTGAAATTTGAATATCATCATATTTATTTATATTACTTTAAAATTGTCAAGATGAAAACAAATGATTCATGCAGTTTCTATTTGATGTCAAAAAGAAAAACAAATGTTTCATTCAGCACATGATCAGTTTTGTTCACAGTTGTTTCAATCGTTTTATAGTGAAAAATAATATCTTGGTATATAAGAATAATAAAATAATAAAATGGCATATATTCCATAGTTTATCTCGTTGTCATTATCTACCCAAATTTTCTTCAACGTTGTCCATATTTTTTTTCCATTTATAAAATTGATAGACCTAACAAAAAAATATTAGACAGAAAAATTGAAGAGATATATATAAAAAAAAATAATACGATGAAAAAACCAGAGCCACGTCTTTTCATGTGCACAACCAAACTAAACTAATGTTGTGTCTATTCATCTCTCTTCGCTCTAGCGAAACAACAATAAGCTGACGTGTACACTAAAAAATGAAGCCCACGACCAATGGGCTCTCTTCCTCCTTCACGACTCCGAGATTCCGCGGCCACCTTCCGATAACCTTCACATCCTCCAACCACCACCACAAGAGTAAAAAGAATCTCTCAAACATCATCACTCTCTCCCTCCCTTCAGATGACTCCTCCTCCTCCTCCTCCCCCCGAGTCGTCTCCTCTCGCCGCGCAATTCTCGTCGCACCACCGCTTCTCGCCGCCGCTATATCCTTATGGCCGTCTGTCTCCTCAGCCGCCGGAGAAATCTCTTCAATCGTAACGGATACTTCTTCTCCAGAACCAGCTACTCCTCCTCCCCCTCCCCCTCCTCCTACTCCTCCTCCGCCGCCTGTGGAGGAGATAACGTCGAGAATCTATGACGCGACGGCGCTAGGTGAGCCGATGGCTGTCGGGAAAGATAAGAAGAGAGTGTGGGAGAAGCTACTGAACGCGAGGATTGTGTACTTAGGTGAGGCGGAGCAGGTGCCTACTAGAGACGATAAAGACTTGGAGCTTGAGATCGTGAGGAATTTAAGGAAGAGATGTGTTGAGAGTGAGCGTCAGTTATCTTTAGCGTTGGAAGCGTTCCCTGTTGATTTGCAGGAGCAGTTGAATCAATACATGGATAAGAGGTTTGCTTCTAGTTCCTTGCCTCAAGCCATTTTTTTTCTTGCTTCTTTGCATTAGGCATGAGAGTTTTGGATACCCATTTGTGAATTGCTTCTAGTTCCTTGTAGCTCTATTCGGGTTTTATATATGTTCGAGTCGGGTTCTATTAAATAATAATTCGAGTTCAGTAGTTTTATTGTACAATCTAAGTTCCATTTTGGATCTGAACTCATTTCGGGTTCGGTTAATAATACTTCGGGTTCTTATGCTCGAGTCGGGTTTGGTTAATAATAATATGAGTTCAGTAAATTTGTAGTATAGTTTAAGTTCCATTTTGGACCTGAACTCATTTCGAGTTCGGTTAATAATACTTCGGGTTAAAAATAACAAAAAAAAGACTGTTGTTTTGAAAACTCATTTGGATTTGTAGGTCAGATTTTTCGATATCAGTTTTAGTTCGATTTGTGTAATACCAATACTTACTAGTCAAATCGAATTTTTTGGTTTGGTTTGGTTTGGGATCATGGGTTTAGTTACAAATGTCTAGGCCTACTCTGCGTATTAACTCAAATTCTTGGATTGGTTGCAGGATGGACGGAGAAGCATTGAAATCTTATGTGTCACATTGGCCAGCTCAACGTTGGCAAGAGTACGAGCCTCTCTTAACTTACTGTCGTGATAACGCAGTTAAACTCATCGCTTGTGGCACTCCTCTCAAGGTAATCTCTTAATAGAAAGACGGTAGCTTTACTAAGAGTATGCATTTTCTTTGTCAGTTACTTATTGTATTAAACTTGATGCAGGTTTTAAGAACTGTCCAAGCTGAAGGTATCCGTGGTCTTTCAGAATCTGAGCGGAAACTATACACTCCTCCTGCTGGTTCCGGATTCATCTCAGGGTTTACTCCCTTCTCACGTAACTCTTCACTCAACATGAACCCCCTCACACAGATTGTTCCATTTGGACCTAGCTCTTATCTCTCTGCGCAAGCTAGAGTCGTTGAAGACCATACAATGTCACAAGTTATCTTACAAGCAGTTGCGGATGAAGGCGGGGCTGGTCTGCTTTTAGTGGTGACAGGGGCAAACCATGTTGAGTATGGTTCAAGAGGAACAGGTTTGCCTGCTAGAGTTTCAAGGAAGATTCCTAAGAAGAGTCAACTTGTTGTGTTACTTGATCCTGAAAGACAGTTTTTGAGGAAAGAAGGTGAATCTCCTGTTGCTGATTTCTTGTGGTATTCTGCTGCTAGACCATGCAGCAGAAACTGCTTTGATAGGGCAGAGATTGCGAGGGTTATGAATGCAGCTGGTAGGAGCCGTGATGCTCTTCCTCAGGTAGAGTTTCTCTGATTGCTTTAATAAGCTTGGCTCTCTGTGTGTTTGTTACTTACTATCATCACTAGACCTATTTTTAAAAATGACCAACTAAACCAATTTTTAGAACACTGGTTTTAAGAGTTGACTTTATAGTTATATTTACGCTTTTTTTTTCTTCACTTTATATTGTATTTTCAGGACATTCAAAAAGGATTAGACCTTGGTCTGGTGTCACCTGAGATTCTACAGAACTTCTTTGATCTTGAGCAATATCCTCTTATTGCAGAGCTTACACAAAGGTTCCAGGTACATCCATTTTAGAAGATATTCTTTAGTTAAATTAGTAAGACTTTGTCTTTAGATTTTAATGATAATCCTCTGTGTTACAGGGTTTCCGAGAAAGGCTATTAGCAGACCCCAAGTTCCTAAACAGACTAGCCATCGAAGAAGCCATATCAATAACAACAACACTAGTAGCACAATACGAGAAGCGGAAAGAAAACTTCTTCGAGGAGCTAGACTACGTTATAACCGATAGCGTAAGAGCATCAGTTGTTGATTTCTTCACAGTTTGGCTTCCTGCACCAACCTTGTCATTTCTCTCATACGCTGATGAGACAGCTAGACCAAACAGCATAGACGCACTAAGAGGCCTCCTAGGATCTATACCTGACAATGCGTTTCAGAAAAGTCTTGGTGGAAAAGACTGGACTCTGAATCTTAGGATTGCTTCGGTTATTGTCGGTGGCTTGAAGCTTGCTGGTGTTGGTGTTGTTTCCAGTTTTGCAGCTGTGGGATCTTCAAATGCTTTGTATGCGATAAGGAAGTTTATTAAACCAGAGTTGGCTGTTTCTGAGCAAACAAAGAGGTCTCCTATGTTGAAGACGGCTGTTGTATATGGAGGTTATCTTGGAACATCTTCAAATATTCGTTATCAGGTTAGATATGTCCACTATATTAGCCAATGACACTTTATTAAGAGTCTTAAACTAAATTTAATTTCAATTTTTGCAGATAATTGCTGGTCTAATAGAACATCGAATCTCTGATGAGCTTTCTTCTCAGCCATTACTTGTAAACATGATTTCATTTGTTGTCAGAGTAGCTAACTCCTACTATGGAACTCAGGTCAGAATCAGGCCTGTACTAACTAACATCTCTTATTGTTTATTTTTTTATTCATTCTAAGTTTTTTCATACAAATGCAGCAATGGATTGATCTTGCACGCACTACGGGTCTGCAACCTCAGAAAAGTGTCACGGCTTCAAATCAGATCCCAGAGGCTTTGAGCCAACCTACAGTGGAGATTGTGGATTATAGTACTACTACTACTACTACGGAAGAGGCAACTATGGATGATCTCAAGAATCAATGATATTTTGTATGGCTATTTCTACTAGGTATCAAACTGGTAAATGTGTATAAAAAAGCTTTTGACCGTCTTGGGAGGGAAATATATACTACTCATTTTGAGCTGTATTTTTGTAACTTAGCTTCTGTGAAATAATGGTTCATTAATGAATATACTTTCTTCAAACAAGTCATGTTGATTTGCCATCACTGCTCAAACAACATAAACTATATGATTATTGTGAAGCACTATTATTAAAAATGTTGAGATCCAAGCCAGAACCACTCCATTTCATGTCAGCAATGTCTTCAAGCTCCTTCATCATCTCTTGTGTAAGATGATTCTTCCAATCTCCAACCACACCTTTCCTAAAGAACATATCATACTTAGTTCCACTCCAGTGAACACCTTCACCTCTTTCTTTACTTGCATTCCTCAGATTCTCGAAGCTACACTCTTCCACCACCTTTTCCACCATCGTCTCACACCCCAAGAAGTCTGCGATCCTCTTCACGTTTTCTTCTGGTTTTCCTTTCAGATCTTCGTAAGTGACGAACAACACACGGTCTTGGTCTCTTGCTTCCCAAAACTCAAGGACGTGGTCGAAGTAAGGACCGGCAGGGACAAGACCTTTGCAGAAGTCATCAAAGGCTTCTTGGATGGAGATCTCTGTCCCGAACTTGTTGTTGTAGAGATGCCATAGAGAGACAAAAGTGTCTGCTGGGTGACGAGTTATGTAAATGACTTTGGACCCTGAGGTCTTCAGAGTGTCCGGTAAAAACGAAAGAGGGAGATGAGTGTTGAAAACTCTAGGAGAAGTGATCTTTGTTATGTCCTTTGATGGGGTTTCACCGAACAACTCGATCTCCAAAAAGGGCACGAGTTCGTGAGGGTTGAGGTTATCCATATGGTCATGGTTGTTGTGTATGGTTGAGCTGTGTCTGAGAATGGAGGAGGTTAGAGCTTTGAGCCAAGTGGTGCCGGTTTTAGGGAAAGAAGCGAGGATTATGTCGGAAGGAAGAGGTGTGTAGTGTGCTCTTATGGCTTCAGTAGCAGTGATGAACTCTGGTTTGAACCAGAAGCCTTTGTGTCTGATGCGTTGACCATCGACCCACCACTTGGCTTGCGGTGGTGGTGGTGGTGAGATTACGTCTTCATGTTGTTGTGGAGTGTCCATAGAGAGAGTGAGAGATGTGTTTTTTGGGATCTGAGGTTTAGTAAGTCATGACTCATGAGAAACACGTAGCATGAGTTTCTGCCTATAACGGCACCAAAATGCACCGTTCTGATGTAGATCAGATCTAAAGACCTCAAGCTTACTACCAAACACATTCCAAAAAGTATTATACATATATTATGCAGAATATATTCGTTTTGCTAAATTAAAGAGCAAAAGGTTCAAGTCTGGTGGAGGTTCTGGTCAATTATTACAGTTCTTTTGGTTAAATAATCACCACTAATTGTGGTCCATCTAGTGTACTTTACCAACTACTTTGTCTTTTTAAAGACCTCTAGTATATAATACAGTTAAAATTCTTCAACTTGGAAATGCAGAAAATATTCTCACTAGTGGATCGTTAAAATATTCCATTTTAAGATGTGTATACATATGATGTTTATAGTAATCCTATGTTTGGTGAGACATTTCACTAGTAGAGATTGCAAATTGATCATATTCAGTCACAGTTGACAAAGAAAAATTATATTCAGTAATGTTGTCTTCCATGTATCCTGCAAAGCAGTTTGTATAAGCTGGGTTAATAGACAAATTTGATTCAACGAACTTCAGATGACATTAGAGCAAAAAGGAGGCTTTCTGGTGTTGGTCATCGTTTGTTATTCAATGATATACAATCTCGTTGTAATGAAAGCTAACCAACCAGCTATCATATATATATATATATCTACCGCCAAAAATTAATGTTCATGGAAAAACTTTGAGATACTTGTGAAAATTAGTCATTTTAGGCATGACACTTTATAGTCTGATAGATTTTTTTTTTTATCAAATAACACATGCATTACTTAAAATAGGGTTTACACTCCATCGAGGGAGCTGATTTTTCCACTACATCAGCTTCTCCACTAAGATTTCTAGAGATAAAAGTTAACGAGATAACATCAAAGTAAGACAAACAGTGATAGATATTAAACATGATACCGAAAAGTCCAGGCTGATCAGTACCACCAATCTTCAAGAGCTTGATGGTTGATAGAGAATTAGAGAGAACTGTCAGAGATTAGACGTTTGAGTATACTGCAGTAACCACTTGATTGAGATGCTCTGACATCTAGTACCTCACAATATCTTGAGCACCCATGCATGCTGAGCCACGATAAATTTACAAATGATGTTAAATGGGCCTTGATATTACACAACTTTACAATGGGCTTTATTTTGTTATCAACCACCAGTAGCAGCAGCGAAAGAAGATACGTATTCACATCGTTTTCATTATATTTTACAAATCTTTCTTTTTGTTTTTTTTCGGACAAAAATATCCAAAAAAATCTAAAAACGAAAGCGTTCACGACAAAGGTTCCATTTCTATATATATATACTAGGACCGGACCCGCCCTACGGGCGGGCATGCAAAAGAATTTTTTTTTTTTTTTAATTTTAATGTATTTTTAGTTTATTTATAACTATAATTTTCACTACCATTTCTACATATTTTTAGTATTTCTTTTTCTCTTAGAAATTAAATATACGTTACTATATTAAAACAAATATATCTATTTTACAGTGTTCAAAATATTTAATTTTCTTGAATTTAATAGATTATTAATATATTTCTTTGAATTTTAGAATTTAAAATTAGAAAAAGTAAAGCCAATTTATTATCTTTTTCTTTTAAAAATAAGCAAATAGCATAAAATGATATTAGGTGTTGCTGTTTAATATTTATAAACAACATGTATATATTTATGAATTATTATATTTGAGGAAAAATATATTCATGTTTTTTATGTTTCTTCAAACTCACATCAACAAAAATTTGAAAAAATGGATTTTGCAATTCTTTTATTTTCTTACTACTAAAATCCAGGCTATCTAATAAAAATAGAAAACCATAACTATTTGATGTACGGTTTGCTATGAAAATTATTTATGGAGCATTTGATGTATTGTTAATATGTATAGTTCAAATGTTTAAAAATGTGAATTTTATTATAAATTTTACACAGATGTGTCATGTGTAATTAAGAAATGGATATCTTATTCAAGAAAACAAAATACCCAAAGAAAATATTTTACTTGATTAAATCGAATAGTTGATTGTATTTTGTTGTAATTATATATCACTTCTCAATTTAAAACCAGGTAACTAACGGTGGTGAATTACTGGCTAAACACGATAAATATCCACAAACAAATATAACTGGTTTTAAAAAAATAAAAAATGAATTCTCCAAAATGTCATAAAATAATACTTAAAAGTTACCAATATTTTTTTTTTCAGAATTTGCTTTCAGCCTTTCACTCTTTTTAGTAACTAAAATATATGTTTCAGTAATAGGAAAATGTATATTACTAAATTATCCACTATCTAAAGAAGTTTTATAAGATCAGACCCACGTCAACTCTGATTCCTTTAACCGGAAACCACAGAAACAACTCTTGTACACTAAAATTCTAAACAAATCACCGATATGGGTATTAACTGATCATCCCCGTGACATTATTCAGCAGAGAATAGGAAAACACAGCACTTGCTTGTAAAGGAGGTACCTGCACGGCTGCACTTCGCAACTCATTATTTATTAATAAGAAAAACATGCAAAAACAGAGAGCTCAAAAACAATTTTGTTAAATAGATTCATTCGTCCTCAACTTTGCAGATATTTTTGTTGCTCTAGTCATAAAATAACTGTAAATAAAAAATAATGTGATCAAGCCAAAGAACGTAATTTTGTTATAGCTCCCAACTGCATTAACAACTAAGAAGAAGAGTCTTGAAGATAGAGGCCGAGTTACTCAGAAGCAGAGTCTGAAAGTCTGAAGTGATCGTTGTGTAGCAGTAGTTCTTGCAACACTTTCTTATGTTTTCTCTGCAGTTCCTGATTTCCACTGCAGGTTGGTTTGCTCAATCTTCCAAGGTATCTGCTTCCTCCTTAACTGCCAGATACTCAATTATCTGCCCCTCTCTGCCTCTCCTTCTCGAGCAACTTGCTTAACTGGCCCTGGTCTGCTTTAAGACATGAAAGTTGGATAGATGAATTGGGTAAGCTAGAATTTATAGAAAATATATGACATTGATGAAGAACGGTGTTAAGGATTATAGAAAACCTGGGCCTTTAGAACAATGATCCTTGATAAGGTTTGAGAGAGGTGCTCATTCACAGAGCTGTCACACTCTNAAGCTAGAATTTATAGAAAATATATGACATTGATGAAGAACGGTGTTAAGGATTATAGAAAACCTGGGCCTTTAGAACAATGATCCTTGATAAGGTTTGAGAGAGGTGCTCATTCACAGAGCTGTCACACTCTTCAACTGTTGTTTGAAGTTTCTGAACAATCATCAAAACATGACAATAGCTTTTACAATCCACAAAGAGTCTATGGATGCAGCTTAGTAAACAGTCACAAAGAGATACACTTACTTGTTTCCCTAGATTCAAGAGTCAAGACAACATAGGCATCACTTGACATCATGTCTCTGTTAGCTAAACAATCCAATAAACTGTACCGTTCCTTACTCCAACTATCAAATGTGTATAAATCTCATCAAGAAGATTATATCAATAAAGAAACAGAAAAAAAGATTGCAAGTTAGAAATTTTACTATCTTCTTTGACAATGAATTTGAGCAAACTATCCATGAATTTTGTAGAAAGACTTGATTTAAGAAATTATAGTTTCTTTGTCGAGCAAGCTCTCCATTTTTTTCTCCTCAAGCTTGGTTTTAGGAACTCTAGGAGTTAATACTTTGACCTTTAAAAAAAGATTCACGATTTTGAGTGTAACTCATCATGAAAAAAAATAAGACTTTGTCTAGGTATTGGTGTTGGGCTAGGCCAAGCAGTTCACTGTGATTACGCAACGTCGCCGGAATAATTTGACCTCACTATATTATCAGCATCGCCTCATCGGAGCTTTAAGCCAAACCGTCGTCCTGCCCGAACCACTCTCGATTCACGATGCTCCAATCCCCGGCATTGAGCCAAGCAAGAACCGCCATCTTCACTGCCACCGTTTTTAAGGCAAGCAAGAATTGCCGAGGCCGTCGGAAGTTTTGTCGGACAGAGTAAGAACTGAAGGAGTTCACAGTTATGGCTCTGGCCCTGTCTCCTGTAAATCCCCATCATTAAATCGATTCAACAGGTAAACAGAGAGAGAGAGAGAGAGAGAGAGAGAGAGAGAGAGAGAGAGAGAGAGATTCCCAAAATCATTTAAGAACGAAAATAACCTTACAGTATGTGATGATGGAAGAAGGATATCCACCGTCGCAAGAGAGATAATAAGCTTTGAATGATTGATAGTGCTTGTTGTAGTCGAAGAAGTTAAGGTGGTTGTTAATGTCGAATTCAATGGAATCTCGTAACGTTTCAGAGGAAGGATTCTTCACTTCGACTTCAGCATCTGGATCCTTCAATGACGGGAACAAAGAAAGGGATTGATAGGCTTAGGGTTTCTTGATATCGAGTCCATTAAAGAGACATAAAGCCCAAACTCATTATCAGCCCGCTTCTTGACGATTCGTGAAAACGCACCGTTTAACTAAAACGGACAGGTGTCACATTCTGGTAAAATGAATTAGTGACGTGGAACACCTTAGAAAGAGGGAACATTTCTTTATATATATAGATGATAACGATGCCACGTCCTTTTGACGTTGCCATCTTCCTCCTCCTCCTCCTCGAACCAATCAAAATCAAATCATCCCTCTCATCGCCGCTGAGAAGAAAATGACCCCGGCGATTAAAGCGCCTCTCTTACCTAACCAAGACCCTTCATCATCATCACCCGAAGAGAAGCATGGCTCCTTCTCCGGGGCCATCTTCAACGTCTCAACGAGCATAGTCGGAGCAGGAATCATGGCGATTCCAGCTGCGTTCAAAGTTCTCGGCGTTATCCCTTCCCTCTCGATAATCGTGATCATTGCGTGGCTTTCTAACGTGTCGGCTGGGTTTCTGATGAAATCCACGGTGGCCGGAGATGCGACGACTTACGCCGGCGTTATGAAGGAGTCGTTTGGGAGACCTGGAGCTGTAGCTGTTCAGGTTATTACGATGGTTGTGACGTTTGGGTCAATGATCATTTTCTCGATTATCATAGGTGAAAAATTTTAACTCTTGAACTGGTTTTACACGACTTGTTAGATGTCTTGAATTGGGTAGGATTGTTCGAGTTTGGATTGTTTAGGACTTAACAACTCTCGGATGAGTTTGGTCGGGTTTCTATTTTTTTTTAATTAGAATTAGTTTGGATTTTGGAAATCCGAAAAAACGACAAACCCGAAAAACGTATTTAAATCCGAAAAAAATATCCAAATAATTGGTGGTTTTAATATATATAATTGATATTTTTAATAAATAAATTATATTTGAGATATTTTGTTAACCGTTTGATTTTTGGTTCGGTTTCGTTTTGAATTTAGAGAAATAGTAACCGTTAGTGTTTTTAAAGTTCTGGTCAGGTTTTGGATTTAGAGAAACAAATAACATTGTTTTACTTCTCTCTTAGGTGGATTGTTCGGATTAGGATTGTTTAGGACCTAAGTTTCTTAGATTTCCCTAAAAATTCCACTCTAAAAAATCGTGGATAATGATGCTCTAACAACTTTGATGACTTTGGTAGGGTTTCTATTTTTATAATTAGAATTGGTTTGGATTTTGGAAATTCGAAAAAAAATGACAAAAACCGGAGAAACTTAATTAAATCCGAAAAAATTATCTTAATAGTTTAACTTATTATTTTAAAAGTAAAATAATTGATATTTTTATAAATAATTTTTATTTGAGATAATTTGTTAACCGTTAGTGTTTCTTTAATGTTCTGGTTTGGTTTTGGAAGTAACATTGTTTTACTTCTCTGTTAGGTGATGTTCTCTCGGGTAATGAAAAAGGTGGAGTTATACATTTGGGTCTTCTTCAAGGATGGTTTGGTTCACATTGGTGGAACACGAGATTCTTTAGTTTGTTATTCATCTTCGTCTTCCTCTTCCTTCCCTTAGTCTTATGTAGACGCGTTGGTACGTTTCTTAAAACCAAAATCTTTAAAAATACTTTGCTCTTGTTGTTCTGATTGTTTTTGTATGTTTCTGTAGATAGATTGGCTTTAAGTTCGGCAATCTCGTTCCTGCTTGCATTACTCTTTGTTGTCATAAGCTCGGTGTTAGCGATTGTAGCACTCGTGCAAGGGAAAACAAAGAGTCCAAGACTCTTCCCTGATCTCAACAATGGAGGACAATCATTCTTCAATCTCTTCACTGCTTCCCCTGTGATTGTAACAGCCTTCACGTTTCATTTCAATCGTAAGAACTGAATGATTATTTCCTTAACTCGGTTTTCTGTTCTTGATTCTGAAGTTATGGTCATGTTTCTGCAGTCCATCCCGTTGGATTCGAGCTCAAAGATCCGTTACAAGTGCTTTCAGCAACTAGAGTCTCTGTGATTCTATGCGCTACAATCTACTCAGCGACTGGTCTCTTCTGTTACCTTCTCTTTGGGGACTCCACAATGACAGATGTTCTTATGAACTTTGATGAAAGCTCAGGTTCTTCAATAGGTTCATTACTAAACGATGTTGTTAGAGCCAGCTACGCGATTCACCTCATGCTTGTGTTTCCTCTGCTCAACTTCTCTTTGAGAGCCAACCTTGATGAACTCTTGTTCCCTTTGAAGATTGCTTTAGTGAATGACAATAAAAGATTCTTTGGACTGACTTTTCCGTTGCTCATATCTTGTTTCTTGGCTGCTATCGCTATACCGGACATTTGGTACTTCTTTCAGTTCTTGGGATCTACTTCTACTGTCTCTATTGCATTCATCTTCCCAGCTGCCATTGTCTTAAGGTACACAAAGTTCCTCTTCTGTACTTTCTAGTTGATTCAAGTTCAAATCTGATTACTTGTTCTGGTGTTTCTCGAATATTGGTAGGAATGTGAATGGTATCTCAACGTTAAGAGAGAAGGTTGTTGCTTCAGTAATGCTTGCTCTTGCGGTTGCCACAAGTCTCATTGCCATTTCGACAAACATATACACCTTCACTGAAACAGAAGAAGCATGAAAAATTTAAGCACATTCTTTTCAAGAATCTGTAAGATGGTAGGAGCTTCAAGCTTGCATTGTATTCTTTTTTTATATCAATGTAAAATAGGTTGTGAAATGAGTGGTGTAATAGCAACTTTAAGGAATTGGAATGTGTATACTGGGGGAAAAGATTGAATCAAATAAACAAGAAGATAAAATATCATTTTTTGCTTATTTGCCAGCTATATGGAAATGACAGAAGATAATGTTGCAACATTATCCAATGATTGAAGCAAAGACTAAAAACCAAACTCAATGTTAGAAGTTAAAACACAACATATATTAGCTCCTTTTTTTTCAGACAAGCCATAGACAACGTGATAATAGTTCCTTGATATGATCAATTGATCATAGCAAGAACTCAACATAATCTGCTTTGTTCACAGTAAGCAAATAAGTTTTTTAACAAACCAAATCGAATACTAACATGCTTTGTTCACAGTATGCATTTTATTATAATTATTCAGTAGAGTATTATTGTTTAGGCAGGGCCTAAGTGATCTAGAAATATAATATAAATCTTTTTTTTTATAATATAATATAAATCTTTCATATGAGATAATCTAATTTTTTTAATAAAAATCCAAAGATCTATGTGATATTGTAATTGAACTAGCATTTTCCAGTTTTAAACAAATAGCTAGATCTAGACTCGCACAACCGTGCGGGTATTTTAATACAAAAATATTTGAAATTATATAATAAAATTTATCAATAAATAAATATAATTGGATTTTGTTTACTATCCACTTTTATATTAATGGTTATGTGGCTTATAATATTATTAATATAGAGTTTATAAATTTGTATTTTTATAACAATTTTTTAAAACATTATTATGTAAGATTATTAATTTATATATTTTGTTTATTTTTAAATTTGAAATATACGTAAAAAGTAAATTAAGTTTTTTTCGACAAAAGGACTAAAAAGTAAATTTAGTTGGACTTACATAATACATAAACAAAATTTTGGGATACTGTTAAAATTATTTTACAGAATTTAATTTTTTGTTTATAAATAAAAAGTGAAATAAAACTTTAATAATCTTTTATGATAATTAAAATTTTAATCAAATAATTTTTTGAAACTATATCTTGAAAAGATTCTAAAATATTTTTAAAAGATTTTGTTAGAATTTTTTTTAACCTATTTCTTTGTATTTCAAATAAATATTAAAGATATGAAATTTAATATAATGACGTTGTGTAAAATTTTATAAATTTTCTAAGGATGATCCAAATTAAAAAATCATACATAAAGTGAGTCATAACTTCTCATTTAATATAACAGATTAAAATTTTATAAGAGTATTAATATTAAATATGGTGAAATGTTCTTCAGAGTACCTAACTTAACTACTAATGATACTCAAACGAATCCTACAAAGAAAAGTTTGTTTATTACATATCTTAGTTAAAAAAGATCCAAGACTAATCCCTCGGTTTCGACGCGGATGAGTTGAGTACTATGGTGACATTATTTTTTTCAGAGAGCACTGGAACCATCTCAAACAACTCTGCAGAAATTCGACCGTGATCATAACTTTCCAACCAAACGACCATCTTCTCTAATGTCTTTGTGTTTTTAAACATAAGTTCCATGAACGAAGCCACGTGCTTCGACTCTATATCCCAATCTCTAATGTTCTCAAAGACCCTCGCTTCCTCACTCAAGCACTGATCCAAGTAGGTGTCAATATGCTTCTCCTGTACATCAGAAAAGGTTTTCGATAAACCGGTTGCATGTCAAGATCTCAAATTCTAACAAACCAAAATTTAAAGGATATGGTTCAAACTCGCCAGTAATTAGAATGGTCAAAGATGATAAGAAAATAAAAGAGGGTTATAGAAAAATACCGATAAAGGGAAGTCAAGGCTGTCAAATTCACTTTTGTGTATTATTGTTAGCTTCTTCAGTTCAGGTGAATTTTGTAGCACCCTGACTATACCAGGGATTACATATTGAGAGATCATTGTCACAAGTGTCAAATTTTTGACTTTGAAGCTTGGAAACGGAACACAACGTAGTTCGGCAAGAGATAAAATCTAACAAGAAGCATAGATAGATATAGTAAATACCGAAACACAAATCTATACAATAAATTTAAAAATAAAGCTTACGAAAATATTGAAAGACAAGAATCATCATTAATCAATGATGAGCATTGCTCTTTACAAACACCTATAGTCTATAGCTGACTTCTTAGATTATCTTTAACCCTACTTTGTTTCTACTATAAAACTTTCACTATAAAATGCAATTTAGCTTAAAATTATCTAGCCTCACTCTATTTTCTAATTTATAATAGAGTAATCTATATCTTTTTCATCTTTTAATTTTTTATTCTTAAAATAGTTACAATTGGAGTAAAACGCACTCTATTGTAGAATCACTTTAACTTGAAAAAAAGGTGGAGTGAACCATTAGACATGGTTTAACACAAATTTATTGATATTCAAAGTCTAATGAAAAGTAATTTGTGGGCTAACATAGACTAACATGCCTAGTAAAAAGTAAGTGATTATGCTACAATTGAAGGATCTAAGATTTTGGGGATCATACACTTATACTTAAAATTTTTAACAAAAAAAATAAAAATAAAATCATAGTTTCAATTTCAAGAAAATTAGAGGAATGCAATAATGTACATATTTCTTCTTTGGAATCACATACCTTAAGAAAGTTTTCCCCGAAAGTAAGCTTTTCAACATTCTGCAACTTCTCTAGCCCCATAACTTGAAGAAAATCATCTTTCGGATTTTCAGGTCCATAAAAGCAAATGTCTAGTCTAGCTTCATTTAAAGACGAGACATCAACTAAAGTACATGGTAGCACATGGTTTCTCAATCTGAGACGACGAATATGCGGTGCAACAATCTGCTTCGGACCCGGATACCAAATGTTGCTGTCGATTTCTAATGTTCTCAGACTTAACGATTTGCTGAGATCAAGAACCATTATCTCATGGCAAAAAGACAGGGATAAGCTTTCGAGAACGGGACAGCCAGATAGAATCTTATCAACGTATTCGTCATAGAGCTTGAAAGAACTCAAGGACAGCATCTTCAGAGATGTCCAAGACACGTAACTGGGGATTGTCAAACCACTATACAAACCGTTAACACTGATTTTCCTGATAGAATTATTGATATAGAAGAAATCAGGAATGTGATACTTCTGGTCACCATTATCATAAACATTCAAAGACATATTCTCCACGTTTCGGGACATAGCGAACTCGATCCATTTTTCTACGTAATGCCTCTTGTCTCTCACTTGGGCACACAGCTCGAAACTCATCATCTTGCGAACCGTGTAGCTTTCTATGAAATTGTTTATTGAATCACCTTCCAGGCCATGCGTATACAAATTTAAGTAGAGGCTAGGTGTACCAGACCATACATGCCTCCATCTTTTGGACAAGATAGAAGTTCTGACGGCTATAAAGGTCTCAAGAGAGGAGAGAATAGTTTGAAGGATCTCATCAGGTAGTAAACTGATTAAGTCTACACCGTCGCTTTTGCGGTGGCTATCGTCTGTTGCACCGTCTCCATTTCTGCCTTCCTCCGCCATCGCGTAAGTTATGATTTGCAATAGTTTGTGGCCACCAATGTTTATATCTAGTTTTATAGAAAACACTTTGGGGAATATGATTTTAAAAAATCTACAAAATTAACTAATATATTCTCAATCTAAAGATTCCTATATTTTTTTCAACTTTAATCTAAACTATTCTTAATTAAATGTAATTAATAAAATAAATATTTGAAACTCTTACAAATTAGAAACTATATAAAAACAAACAATGGTCAGTGTGAATAATAGCTATTTACGGATTATCCTAAAGTTTTCAGCATTACTTACTTTATAATATAAATCATATTTGGAAGAAAATATTAAAATTGTTGAATGGACTTTGTATTCTTAAATTTCTAGTAACTATAATTAAATAAAATTTTCCCAACAATTCAATCATGTACTTTAGTAAAGATTAAGATCTAAATAAAATTCACCTTTATTCAAGTGATGGTTCTAAATTATATTCTAAAATCTGGTGTTATTCGATGAATGATTTAAAACAAAACTTTATAATCTAGTGTTATTTAACTTTCAACTTTCAAGGATCTTTCTTTTTTGGTATTTATATTGATTTCAGATCATCTGTTATGGTGTCACATGAAAAAAGGAAGGAAAAAAAAATCTAAGGCTTATTATAATGATTTAAAATTTACCCTTAAACTATCTTAAATTTTTAAAATTTGATAGATTACAAAACATTGATTATTGATTTTTAAATTATTGATTGATTAACATCTCCTAATTAGCTTACTATTTGGAAATAAATTTAGTCAAGATAATATTATTTTCAATCATGTACTTTAGTAAAGATTAAGATCTAAATAAAATTCACCTTTATTCAAGTGATGGTTCTAAATTATATTCTAAAATATGGTGTTATTCAATGAATGATTTAAAACAAAACTTTATAATCTAGTGTTATTTAACTTTCAACTTTCAAGGATCTTTCTTTTTTGGTATTTATATTGATTTTAGATCATCTGTTATGATGTCACATGAAAAAAGGAAAGAAAAAAAAATCTAAGGCTTATTATAATGATTTAAAATTTACCCTTAAACTATCTTAAATTTTTAAAATTTGATAGATTACAAAACATTGATTATTGATTTTTAAATTATTGATTGATTAACATCTCCTAATTAGCTTACTATTTGGAAATAAATTTAGTCAAGATAATATTATTTTTAATATTATATTTAATAATATTTTTGATATTATATTTAATAATCTTTTAATATTATACTTAATAATATTTTTAGTACTGTAGCACATTATTAAGTTTTATTTGTAACAAGAATTCTGCTTTTAAAGTATATATTGTTCTTTAAAGTATTTTTATAATTTGACGTTCTTTAAACTATATATAATAATTTAATAAATAAATATATAGTTAAACAAATAATAATATTATGCTGACCAATAATATAACTAGTTGCAGAAATCATATAATCTACTGATTGGTCAACCGTTTAATGTATACCATAATTAGAATACCAACACAGCTAAAATGATAATTAACCGAGCGGATTGATAAAAAGTCGTTTCAAATTGTCAAGAATCAAAATGGTTAGGTGGTGCACTTTTCAATATAAGCTATGCCTTTCCACTTTATATAGGGAACATATGGCAAGCTAAGAGTACCATTAACCCAAAAACCCAAAAGGGTTGCTTAAATTTTTTTTTTCTGAGTACAAAAGAAAAAAAAAATAAAAAAAATTGATCAATTGCGGGCCGCCACATGTCAGTGGGGCCCGCGATTTTCTAAGCAACAGACCAAATCCGTGGCTTATTCAAGAACTATTGGCAGCGCTGTTTGTTTTTCTGCTAGACCCCACTAATTATTATATAATTTTTTCTTAAGCCACCTCCCCTTAAGCCACTGGGTTAAAGGTGCTCTAAGACACTTGGATCCTGATATCCCAAAGATAATAATATTGATTAATGTTGGAACTTATATTTACATATAAATACCGAGCATAATGTTCTCACTCAATAGCTTCCTATATTTTTTTTCTACTTTAATCAAAATTATTCTTAATTAAATGTAATTAATAAAATAAATATATGAAAATGCTAAAAACTAGAAAATATATTAAAAAAATGGACGGTGAGAATAATATCTATTTACGGATTATCCTAAAGTTTTCAGCATTTGTTACTTTATTATATAAATTACATTTGGAAAAAAAAATATAAAAATTAATAAGAAATGGACCGTGTGTTTTTAAATTGTTAGTAACCATAACTAATTAGCTTACTATTTCAAAATAAATTTAGTCAATATAATATTAACAATTTATATTTTAATATATTTTAGTAATGTAGTATGAAAGGAATTCTAATTGTTAAGAGATGATGATCATCCATCAGTCAACACGTGGAGAACACTTGTCTTAACCTTGGACTGCATTGTCATCTCTTTTAAATACGTGTGTCTTGACCTTTGTCCAGTATAAATACCCCATCTGCTCTTTGTATTTGACGACATAAATAAGAAGAATCAGACTTTCATTTTCTCTGCTCTCTCGTTCAATTACACACACTAAACAATGAATATTTTCTTACCTAATAATAAATATATAATACATTATCAGTACGAAACTCTGATCCTATATCAAACAAGATTATACCAGTGAGTTATCATGTCAAATCTAAAAAGCTCGAAATAAATACCTTGAACATATACACCTTCACTGAAACAGAAGAAGCATGAAAAATTTAAGCACGTTCTTTTCAAGAATCTGTAAGATGGTAGGAGCTTCAAGCTTGCTTTGTATTTTTTTCATATCAATGTAAAATAGGTTGTGAAATGAGTGGTATAATAGCAACTTTAAGGAATTGAAATATGTATACTGGAGGAAAAGATTGAATCAAACAAACAAGAAGATAAAATATAATTTTTTGCTTATTTGCCAGCTATATGGAAATGACAGAAGATAATGTTTACAAAACTATCCAATGATTGAAGCAAAGACTAAAACCAAACTCAATGTTAAAAGTTAAAAACACAACATATATTAGCTCCTTTTTTAATTCAGACAAGCCATAGACAACGTGATAATAGTTCCTTGATATGATCATAGCAAGAACTCAACATAATCTCCTTTGTTCACAGTAAGCAAATAAGTTTTCTAACAAACCAAATCGAATACTAACATGCTTTGTTCACAGTATGCATTTTATTATAATTGTTCAGTAGAGTATTATTGTTTAGGCAGGCAGGGCCTACGTGATCTAGAAATATTATATTAATCTTTTTTTTAATATAATATAAATCTTTCATATGAGATAATCTAATTTTTTTTTAATAATTATGTTTATAGTTTGGACTCACTTTTCATATGAGATAAACTTTTTTTTTTTTAATAAAAATCCAAAGACCTATGTGATATTGTAATTGAAGTAGCATTTTCCAGTTTTAAACAAATAATTAAAATTTTATAAGAGTATTAATGTTAAATATGGTGAAATATTCTTCAGAGTACCTAACTTAACTACTAATGATGCTCAAACGAATCCTACAAAGAAAAGTTTGTTTATTACATATCTTAGTTAAAAAAGATCCAAGACTAATCCCTCGGTTTCGACGCGGATGAGTTGAGAACTATGGTGACATTATTTTTTTCAGAGAGCACTGGAATCATCTCAAACAACTCTGCAGAAATTCGACCGTGATCATAACTTTTCAACCAAACGACCATCTTCTCTAATGTCTTTGTGTTTTTAAACATAAGTTCCATGAATGAAGCCACGTGCTTCGACTCTATATCCCAATCTCTAATGTTCTCAAAGACCCTCGCTTCCACACTCAAGCTTTGCAAATCCAAGTAGGTGTCAATATGCTTCTCCTGTACATCAAAAAAGGTTTTCGATAAACCGGTTGCATGTCAATATTTCAAATTCTAACAAACCAAAATTGAAAGGATATGGTTCAAACTCGCCAGTAGTTAGAATGGTCAAGGATGATAAGAAAATAAAAGAGGGTTATGGAAAAATACCGATAAAGGGCTGTAAGGGATGTATAATTCACTTGTGTGTATTATTGTTAGCTTCTTCAGTTCAGGTGAGTTTTGTAGCACCCTGACTATACCAGGGATTACATATTGAGAGATCATTGTCACAAGTGTCAAATTTTTGACCTTGAAGCTTGGAAACGGAACACAACGGAGTTCGGCAAGAGATAAAATCTAACAAGAAGCATAGATAGATATAGTAAATACCGAAACACAAATCTATACAATAAATTTAAAAATAAAGCTTACGAAAATATTGAAAGACAAGAATCATTATTGCTCAATGATGAGCATTGCTCTTTACAAACACCTATAGTCTATAGCTGACTTCTGAGATCATGTTTAACCCTACTTTGTTTCTTTTTGTAAACTATCCCTCCTTTGTTTCTACTATAAAACTTTCACTATAAAATGGAGTTTAGCTTAAAATTATCTAGCCTCACTCTATTTTCTAATTTATAATAGAGTAATCTATTTTTTTTTCATCATTTAATTTTTTATTCTTAAAATGGTTACAATTGGAGTGAACCATTAGACATGGTTTAATACAAATTTATTGATATTCAAAGTCTAATGATAAGTAATTTGTCGGCTAACATAGACTAACATGCCTAGTAAAAAGTAAGTGATTCTGCTACAATTGAGGGATTTAAGATTTTGGGGATCTTACACTTATTCTAAAATTTTAACAAAAAAAAAAAAAATCATAGTTTTAATTTCGAGAAAATGAGAGGAATGCAATAATGTACATTTCTTCTTTGGAATCACATACCTTAAGAAAGTTTTCCCGGAAAGTAAGCTTTTCAACATTCTGCAACTTCTCTAGCCCCATAACTTGAAGAAAATCATCTTTCGGATTTTCAGGTCCATAAAAGCAAATGTCTAGTCTAGCTTCATTTAAAGACGAGACATCAACTAAAGTACATGGTAGCTGAGAGTCTTTCAATCTGAGACAACGAATATGCGGTGCAACAATCTGCTTCGGACCCTGAAACCAAGTCTGGCGGTAGATTTCTAATGTTCGCAGACTCAACGATTTGCTGAGATCAAGAACCATCAGTTCAAGGCAAAAAGACAGGGATAAGCTTTCGAGAACCGGACATCCAGATATAATCTTATCAATGCATTCGTCATAGAGACTGAAATTACGTAGGGCTAGCATCTTTAGAGATGTCCAAGACACGTAACTGGGGATTGTCAAACCACTATACAAACCGTTAACACTGATTTTCCTTATAGAGTTATTGATGTAGAAGAAATCAGGAATCTGATACTTCTGGTCACCATCATTAAAAACAAACAGAGTCATATTCTCCACGTTTCGGGACATAGCGAACTCGATCCATCTGTCTACGTAGGGCCTCTTGTCTCTCAGGTGGGCCCACAGCTCGAAACTCATCATCTTGCGAACCGTGTAGCGTTCTATGAAATTGTTTATTGAATCACCTTCCGGCCCATGCGTATACAAGTTTAAGTAGAGGCTAGGTGTACCGGACCATACATGCCTCCATCTTTTGGACAAGATAGAAGTTCTGACGGCTATAAAGGTCTCAAGAGAGGAGAGAATAGTTTGGAGGATCTCATCAGGTAGTAAACTGATTAAGTCTACACCGTCCCTTTTGCGGTGGCTATCGTCTGTTGCTCCGTCTCCGCTTCTGCCTTCCTCCGCCATCGCGTAAGTTATGATTTGCAATAGTTTGTGGCCACCAATATTTATATCTAGTTTTATAGAAAACACTATATATGGGGAATATGATAAAAATTCTACAATTAACTAATATTTTCTCAATCTAAAGATTCCTATATATTTTTGTACTTTAATCTAAACTATTCTTAATTAAATGTAATTAATAAATAAATATTTAAAATCTTACAAATAAGAAAAAAATATAAAAACAAACAATGGTTCCAGATTATCCTAAAGTTTTCAGATTTGTTACATTATAATATAAATTATATTTCAAAGAAAATATAAAAAATGTTAAGAAATGGACTTTGTATTTTTGAATTTCTAGTAGCCATAATTAATAAACCTTTTCCCAACAATTCAATCATGTACTTAAGTAAAAATTAAGATCTTAATAAAATTCACCTTTATTCAAGTGATGGTTCTAAATTATATTATAAAATCTGGTGTTATTCAAATAATGATTTAAACCAAAACTTTAAAATCTAGTGTTATTTAATTTTTAATTTTCTAGGATCTTTTTTGTGTATTTATATTGATTTCAAATCATCTGTTATGGTGTCTTATGCAAAAAAGAAGGGAATCAAAAATCTAAGGCCTATTATAATGATTTAAAATTTACCCTTAAACTATATTAAATTTTTAAAATTTGATAGATTACAAAACATTGATTATTGATTGATTAACACCTCCTAATTAGCTTACTATTTGGAAATAAATTTAGTCAAGATAATATTATTTTAATATTATATTTGATAATATTTTTAATATTATATTTACCATATTTTTAATTTTATATTTGATAATATTCTTAGTATCATATTTAATAATACTTTAAATATTATACTTAATAATACTTTTAGTAATGTAGCACATTATTAAATTTTATTTGTAATAAGAATTCTGCTTTTAAAGTATAGATTGTTCTTTAAAGTCCATTTTTATAATTTGATGTTTTTTAAACTATATATAATAATTTAATAAATAAATATATAGTTAAACAAATACTATTATGCTGACCAATAATACCGCTAGTTGCAGAAATCATATAATTCTGCTTTTAAAGTATAGATTGTTCTTTAATTTATATTTAATTAATGTGCACCATAATTAGAATACCAACACAGCTACAATAATAATTAACCGAGCGGATTGATAAAAAGTCAGTTTCAAATGGTCAAGAATCAAAATGGTTAAGTGGTGCACTTTTTTCTGTAAAATAGGTCGTGCACTTTTCACTATAAGCTATGTCCTTTCCACTTTAAGGGACAAGACCGGCGCTTGGGCCAAGCCCTTGGCCCTTGGTCCAAGCTGTAGAATCAGCTGTTTCTAGACATTTTTATTTAAAAATTCGGTCACAATTTAATAAAATAGTTATTTAGTCTAGTGATTTGATTTAGAGATAGTATATTTAATGTGCTTAACCCAGTTTAAGACTTCCTCTAGTCAAGTTTTTCTTTTTTAAATGATTATTTTTTATTTTTTATTTCTCTTGTATAACCTAAGACCGATTTTAAACATATCACAATCTAAGATACTTGGATCCTGATATCCCAAAATAATAATATTGATTAATGTTAGAATTTATATTTAAATATAAATACCGAACATAATGTTCTCACTCAACAGCTTCTTATATTTTTTCCTACTTTAATCAAAATTGTTCTTAGGTAAATGTAATTAATAAAATAAATATGGTAAAACCTTAGAAAATATATTAAAAATATTCGGTGTGAATAATATCTATTTACGGATTATCCTAAAGTTTTCAGCATTTGTTACTTTATTATATAAATTACATTTGGCAAAAAAATATAAAAATTGTTAAGAAATGGACCGTGTGTTTTTAAATTGCTAGTAACCATAACTAATTAGCTTACTATTTGAAAAAAAATAGTCAATATAATACACTTAATAATTTACATTGTAATAATATTTTTAGTAATGTAGTATTTGAAAATAATTCTACTTTAATAATGTAGGTTATTTTTTACGATCTATTTTATAGTTTGATGTTCTTTAAACTATAAGCTAAGTACAGTAAAATACCCACCCTTTAATGTGATAGCAACTTTGGGAATTGGAATATTATATGGGAGTCGGGGAGAGATTAAATCAAACAAACAAACGCGAAAATTATTTCATTACTGATTTGTTATACTGAAACCACCAAAGAACATGTTTATAAATCATCCAAAGATAGATAACAAAGATTAAAACCAAACTTAATGTTAAGAAAAAAAACACAACATATATGAGTCGTCGGATAAGACAGTATCAGCTGTTGTTTCCCAAAAAAACTTTTTTAGCCGTAGACAGTGAGAAGAGTTACTAGTTCCTGCACAAATCATGATCAGAGTAAAGAACTCACATTAACTAACATACTTTGTTTTACTGTATGTGTATGATCCCATTTGTTTTCAGAACTTACCTTCTAATGTTCTTTGATGGAACAAGTATCCCTCTCTTCTCCAAGCTCTTGAATCTATCTCTTGCAAGTGTGCAACATGCCTTCCAAAATAAAGAGGATCTCATCAGAATTATTGTCTACCAACAAAATCCACAAAGAACATAAAAATTTGTTTTCATGGGATATACCTTCAGCTTACGAAGTGAACCGGTCATCTCTTCTGTTAAGAGGACTTGAACAGGAGGAGCCTCATACTTGTGCTTTCCCAAACGAGGAGGACGTATCTTCAACACTTCCTCCTTGGCAATGGTTTGTCTTATCTTTTTATTCAGTTTTTCTTTATCTTCTTCAGCTATTTCTTTTATGATTTTGGGCAAGCTACCATAAATAATACACAAAAGAAAGAATATTAAGTACGAGATTTTGTGAATGATAAGTCGAGCATTTTTCAATATACCTGTCAATCTCTTTTGATAACTTCTCTTTATGCTTTTCCTTTGTCTCCTCCTTTCGTAGTGCCTTTTGTCTAGCTCGCTTGTTCAACACCACACGGGTTACTCTCTTTGTCGTTCTTGCGGTTCTGCAGTAGAAAGATTTCAAAATCATGAAACATGTAAAACAAAACAAAAACAAAGATAGGGAGCTTACTTATTCCCAGCCTCAGACACTTCATTTTCTGTTTCATCTTCAGCTTCGCTACCATTGTCCACACCAAGAAAATAGGCACTCTTCCCATTAATTATTCTATTACATACACTCAAAAGACCCGCCTCGTCTTCAATGTTTGCGTCTCCATCAATTGTCAAAGGCACAGGCTCAGGTCCTAACTCATTTTTGTAAACTTTCTGCATTTCTTGCGCAACTGCTTCAGCCAACATATCCTGTAACATAGTATGCGAGAAGTCAATGCAAAAATATTCAACTAGCTTAGGAGGCGTGTGAGAGTTTAATCTAATAGTAAAAGAGTTTGTACCTCGTGACTTTCAGCTGTAGGGTTGTATGAACATCCTGCAGGATCAACTTCAACTGCTGGAATAGTAGATGTCATTTTCCAAATCTGTACAAACAAGAAAAAAAAGAGTTCAGTCTCAAAAACCAAATCAACAAATTTTAGTTACAGTGAGACAGACATTACCTTCCTAGGGTTGCTCTCATCTTCTCCTGCAAGTTTTTTTTTACCAAAGAAACCGTTGTCTGTTAACATCTCTATCCAAACGAATCAAAAGGATTCAGACCAAACTAAAAGTAGAATAAACAAACCTTTATTATCATCACCCCACAAGTCCATCATTACAGAATCATCATCAACACTCTGGCAAACAAGATTGAGAAAAAAAAAAACATATGAAATCAACATCATGTCCAGACAATTAACCGGTGAGCTTTTGGTACTGTGCTAACTCATTATCACTTACCTTTTGGGATTTTTTAAATGTTTTACTTTCTACAACGTTTGCCTTCTTCTTCTTACTAATCTTTGACTTGGGCTTGGAAGAAGACACAACCTCGACAAATGGGTTCTTCTTTAAAACACTGTCACACCTAAGCACTTTCTCTCTGTTCTTCTCTATCTTACGTCTCACCGGAATATCTGATTTTTAAAAAAACATAATAAAGTTTAAAACTTTTGCTCTCTATAACATATAAAGTTCACTCTTTTAAATAAAAACGACGACTAATAACACACTTTGTTACTGTGCTCATTCTAATGTATCGTAAAGGTGAATACTTTGCAGCTAATAAAACCTCAAGGGAGCTACAAAACAAAACCCAAAAACATGAGGGAGGTAAGAGTGAGAACCGTGAGACTTCTCGACGCGGAAGAGATCTTCGCTTGGAGCGGTGGAGAGATTGCCACCGGAGAGAGCGTCTTTGGTTGTTTTCTCAAAGAAGTCTTCTATGTCCTCGGTGCTTATGTTAGCTCTCCATGCTTTTTTACCTTTCCTTGAACTCTTAGAACCCTTCCCCATCTCGCTTCTCTATCTCTGTTGGTTTCTCTCGGCGGCGTGAAGGTTGGTTTGGGGTTAGAAAGAGGAGGAAGGAGATGGTTGAAGAAGAGGAGGATACTTAGGGGTAGGGCTTAGATAGAATATAATGGGCCTTAAGATGATCTAATTGTTATAATGGGCCTTAAGTAGTTAAAACTAGATGGGCCTTCTAAGTAGCTCTAATTCAAGACAAATTTATACTAGATAATATAGAGAGACCTAATATATATCTGAAAAATGAAAATATATAAATATTTATATATCTAACACATGTTTCTTTAGAATTACACAGACTAGAACTTTTTTTTTTTCTTAATTTTCTAAAGTAACTGATTACTATTTAATCATATACTATACAAAAAATCGAAATTTAAAAGATCTTACAAAAAAGAGAGTGATGCTTGATATAGCACAAAGCCGCCCCCGTGACTTAATTCTCATTTGATTCCTTTGTCACATTTAAAGGGAGAGTGGGGTAGGTCATACTGATAAACCCTGACTACAACATACTGTTGTAAATTCTTCTTGAAATATGTTCAATATTACTTTTGTCTTTTTGGTCTCATCTCATGACTACTTCCATCTAAATCCCACGTATGGTTCCCATCCATATCTTAGAGTTTAATTAATGAGTCGTTCGTAACATTGATGTGCTGACATGGGAATAAATAACTAGAGATGAATATTTGTATTGTTATATCATTACTAGTTCATCAAATAATAGAATTTTATAGGTTAGTTATCAATTCTTTACTGAGAATGGTATGTCAAACTATATTCATCAAAATATTGAAGGTAATAGTGGCATAATATGGCAACGGCACTTGTGTGTAGAGTGTTGTTTTGTTGTGATGATTAATTGGCACACATGTGAATTGGTGGTTACGTTTCTTTGTCCGTCTCCTACATAGACAATCTTCTGTATGATATCAATACTAATCACTTATATAGTTACATGTATCTACAAACTCTTACATGTACAACTTTGTATATATATCTACTTTAGTGGGTGGAGCATATTGATCTAACATACATAGATGAATTTTTAATTTGAAGCTGATCTATCAAATCATTCTATACTTAATTTTTAGTCATCAAACTGTTATATGATAAGTGTTTTGAGAGACGTGACTCTTACATTGGTGTTTGTTCAAATATACATATATAGTTCTAGAGAGAGAAAGAAAGAGAGCGATAGAGAGGACAAGGAGAGATGATGAATAGGGGAAGAGAGGTGAGAGTATATCTGTGGGTTTGTGTTGATAAAAGATCCCCGTGAGGAGTGTTTGGAGGCATACCACACGTTTGCTTTTATTCTCTCCATCACTTCTTTCGATGCTCCCACACGTTAATTATTCTTTAAAAATTATTTCACAATATTAGTTCATCCCCCATATATCACGAGCTCATAAATATATATAACGGAAATCTAGTCATCAATCCAAGTTCAAATGGTTTTCTTCTTGTTGTTATAATTCGCGACTGACTAGAAATTGCATCCAAAAGAGAGATGGTGATGTCTTTTTGCCACGTATGAAATTTATTCTAGCTAGATAGATCAGTATATGATGTTCGAAAAGAAAGGAGTGACCGTAATTACTTTGATTTATAATTTGTAGCTGAATGACCAGCAATAATATACCTGATAAAGTCCATCTTATATATTAAAACAGAAGTCACAACCTAGATTTATGTGTGATTTTTTTAAAAATA